ACATCTATGATTTGAAAAAAATATGTTTTAAATCTGTCACTCGTTGCCCCCTAAATGTTCCATTTCAATCTCAAACTTCTCTCTGAATTGTTTTATATGTAAGTGTTTTTTATGTTGTTGAAGTTGTATTTTAGCTTTATTAATGTTGTAAACAAATGAATTTGTAAAAAACAAAAACATGTTATAAGTTAGTACGCCATGGAATGACCTATAGAGTGAAAAATAAAAAAAGTACCAATAATACCTTTAAATTAATGGTCACTAGCACAAAATGAATGTAATATGTGACCTGCTTCATCTGAAATGCTTTAGATATTTCTGCTTGAGTGATCATTAATTTAAGTAAAGATTTGATTTCTAGACTGGCGCTTGCACCGCCAGGGTTGTGGGTTCGAGTCCCGGGGCCACTCATATGTAAAAATGTATGCACACATGACTGTAAGTCGCTTTGGATAAAAGCTTCTGCTAAATGGCATATATTATTATTTATTTATTTTAATTGCAAGATGCAATAAGTATGATTCCAGCAAAAACAACTTGATAACATAAATTCATAAAATAATTCAAAATGTTTCTTCCAATATGGGCTTTTCAAATATGATTTATTTGATTTCATTAAAACATTTTCCAGTATAATCTACATTTAGCAAATTACGAGAAGCCCTTTTAACCCTACACTCAATTTTCTTTCAATGGACTTGCTATATTTTGAATTAAATAACATTTTAATGTGTAAAATATGTTAGTATCACACCACTTTGTTTAACGTGTTATGTGTTTTATGGAAAATATGATTCAGAATGTGAGCATCAACGTAGATCCAGTGACCTTACAATTACCAAAATGTGGTATTCTTGTGGTAATGAAGTATATTTACTTTTGAACATTGTCTCTCCCCTGCTACAGTAGCCATTTCAATGTTAGAATAATGCCTTCCAAATAACTAAACAATACACTCAGAGCTTTAAGGTGTGGTTTAAATTAAAGAGACCTGTGTAAAGCGGTCTCTTGATGAAGCCTGGTATTTTTACAACTTTGTTGTTCTTGAAATACTCGAGCTACACAAGAAGCGTTCAGCTTCCAACTTTTCCCACAGTGTGATTGCGAGTAATCTTTTCTGGATCCTTGTATGAAATATTGTGAAATTCCTGAAGGCATGGCACACATTGCCAGTTAGTCTTCTCTGGTCAAACCCCTCTGAAGTGACTTGAATCATTTTAACACCTTACCAGTAGAGAATAATCTCACAACCTCTCCTCCCCTTCATGAGAGCTTTGCGAAGCACATTCTCCCAAAGAAGCAGGGAGGTAGGAAAAGTACTTGTTTTAGGATGATTTATCTTATATGCATCACAGAAACTCTGTAACCCAGTAATAACACATTCTTAAAGCCCTTCTGTATGAGAATTGATGTGTCTGTGTTTGTATATTTGTCAAGGGAATCACCCCCTGCATTGGGTTTTTTCTTTGGGGATTCAGGCCGAAGCAGTCAAGGGTTTGATGCCCCCATTAATGGAATAGGTCAAGTGTTATCATTTGGCCAGTTTTTGTACACATGTACTTAAGAACCAACATTTATTTTATGATTGTTTTCTTATTTTCTCCCCTCTTGCTAAAGACACGTTAGAGGTCTCATTTTCCGATTATGCACACATTTTGAAACAATTTGGTTTAGAAAACATATTGTTTAGCTATTTCTTGCCAGCTCAAATTGCAAATGAGCATTGTAGCAATGTCCTTCAGCGGATGGGTTATTGCCTAATGAATTCCCATTGATAAATCCCAATACAAACCTTGTTTCTCCACAGATGACAGAGGGTCAATGGATGAGATATAACAGTAAACTGCTGTAACTGTCATACTGTACTGTAGTCATTTTGCAGTCATATTGATCCTGATTTTGTTTTTGTACTTGAACAACTGCATTCACAATGAAATGGGTAAAAAAAATAGATATTTTTCTACAAAGTATCAAGACCTAAGAAAGCATCAAACCCTGACCTTGTTGTGTGTCCATAGCTGTATGGTTTCTCAATGGTGTTGAAATCTCATTAGTTGTTGTTCAGGCTATTATGTGCTGCAGTATTTCCTAGTATACTTCTTTGTTAATTGTCTCTCTCATTTACATTTATTGTCTCCTTATTTCAATCTGTTGATATAGCTTTATATGTACCCTATTCCTTAGACTAATATTATTGAGTATGTTGTGAGAATGGATATTTTACTGGCTTTATAGAATGTTTAAAGAAATATAAGAATGCGAATAAGAAGAATGATTCATTGAACTCCTAACAAGTTGAGTACTTGGCTACTAAGCGCTTGTGTTACCATTAAGATGTTGTGTGCTTCTTTTAATAATTTTCGTTGTAGAAAAATGGAGTGAATTTATAATAGGCTTCAAAAAAACGAATGACAGCATTGTACATTTACAGGAGGATTTTAACTGACAACTTGGTCATAGAAGAAAATAGTTATTTTAATTGCCCTCTTTACTAACTGTAGGGTGAAGGGGCTCGCGTTGTGGTGAACTATGTTATAGCTTGTTATTCACTGTTACTTTTGATCATTTTTTCGGTCTCCGAGGTGAATCGAGTTATTAATGAGAACTTGTATGCTCACATATGCATATTGTATATGTGTAGAAATGTAATCACACTTTGTCTTGGATTTACATTAAACTGTTAAGTCACGGCACCAGTCTCCCGTCTCATACAATGGTCATTATTTGTATCTCCTGTGTTTGTGTGTGTGTGTGTGTGTTGGTGTGTGAAGGGGGGGGGGGGGGGGGGGGGGGGGGGGGGGGGGGGGTGTGTTTACAATTTATCAACATGGCAAATTGATTTATGGTTTTTACAGACATAATGATGCACCTGACATAACCTGAAGGACACTTCACTGAAGGAGTTAGTTGATGCATGATGTTTAACTGCAACTGGAGTCAAATACATCTACTCTAAATGAAGGGATCACCAATTTCTCTCAAGTATTTAATCTGTTGATCACCTGTTTTGTATCACATTTCTCTATATTTTACTTTGACTAGTTCAATGGGTGCAATCAACTTTACCCTAGAAACCCTATAACCCTAGCCTAGAAAATATATAACTCTAGCTGTAGATTATTACTTTAGTATCACTAAGGTACAGTAGCCAGACTAAGCACAGTTCCAAATCCATCCTCGATGTAAATGTTCTACTGACCGTTTTATGCCACTAGATGGCGATGATTAACCATATTTTCTTGCTGTGATACTTCATCGTGGTCAAATCAGTTATTTCCCCTATTCTTCATAGTTAAATCAAAGTGTTTAACAGTCTTGTCTCTATTGGATGACATTGTTTATTGTTTATAGGTGGGCTGACTATTACTTTTGCTAACAAATATTTGAAGTAGGGAAAATAGTTTATTGTATACCTTCCCTGACAATGCTTTCAGGAAAATAAAAGTTAAACATTTTCTGTATGATATAGTTAATTACCATTCAGTCTGTCTATCTATCCATTTAATTTAATTGCTCAAGGGGTTGGGTGCATCGCACGAACGGTGTTACGGTGAAACCACAGACGCCGATAGAGATGGACAACCTAACCCCTCCGCACTGCAGCCAATGATCGTAGGACGTTAGAAAATAAATATCTAATCAGGGCTCGGGGAGGAGTTATTGCAATCCTCAGGACGAGTGGCCACTGCGAGAGCGAAAGATGCCCAAAGAAAACGGAAAGGACAATGATATTAGCTAGCTACACTAGCTAACTATTTCAAGTGGTATTTAGCTAGTCCGGTTCATTTGATTGTTTTATGGATATGAAAACATCCAGACAAAGAGAAACAGAGAACGTGAAGCGCCGTTTTGGTAAGATGTGCTCTGCTATGTGATTGGGACACAGCAAATGCATAGGCTAGATGGGCACAGCATTCCCGTTATCTATTTGAACTCCGAGCGCAAGCTAGCTAAACTGTTTTAAAACTTGTCTATGGATCGTTTCCGTTGTTGTATGTTGACTCAAGCTTGTTTATGAGAAAAACAAAGTATTACCTGTTTTATTTAGTCATAAGATAATATGATATTCATGGAGAAAACGGGTCGGGAGGAGGACAAGGAGACAACCTCATGACGAGTCAGTCAGCCAGGCAGCAGCAGGCTAGCTAGCTAGTAGTAGTGCCGGCAGAATCATTTTCCACATTGAGACCCTTAGGTACTGTTGTAGGCTCGCTACCAATAGGTAGCTAGTGTAGTCTTGCTGTATAAATAGCTAGCTCGCTAGCAAGTAAATAAGAATAATATTCGCATTTACTAGTGTTGCCGCTCAGACACACTCACACAGATTTTCACATTTGCTATGTTACATTGTAATTCTGGTTTTAGCACGTGCGGGTGAATTCCCCCACACTTAGCTAATCCCTGATTTGCGCTTGCATCACCTTTGCCTACTGGCATGTCAGAGCAGTTAGGTGTCTTCATAATGAGTAGCACGTTTCCCTCAATGCTCTACTGATTTTGAGAAAGGCAATGCATGTCCTCATATGAAAGGTTAACCCAGGAGAGAACAAAGGACCTAGCCAGGCAGCTGAACACCCAGCCAGGGTTGACCTAACTAGCCTGCCGGCATCCAGCCTAGCACACTGTCATGTCAGGGTCCTTATGATGGAGTGGTTTTCAGATAAACAGAAAGATTTTAGCCTAATGTGTGTTGTCTTTCTGTATTGTGTGTGTTCATCTTTTTTTGACTGCATATGTTTTTGCCCAAATTGTTTGCTTTATGTGCTCATATTGATAGACAGACATACAACTGTCAATGCTCACATAATGCATGGAATATTTCTGACAAAATTGTTTTTGTTTGCACACAGCTTAATCACTCCCCTCTTACCGAAAGCCGATATATGATATGGAAGAAGGGGTACATTGAGGGAGATCACACAAGCAATACCTGCATTCTCCAGCTCGTGGTATCTACTGGGATGCATCATAAGTGAATAAAATGCCATGACTTCCATGCAATGGAGGGTTTAAGCTTCTCTATGGGTTCATTGGGGATTTCCAAGACCGCTCTGCGCATTCAAGGCTTCAGTGCAGCGGTTCTAGGGCTGATGGTGTTGGTGACAATGATCACAGCAGGTTCACCTGCAGCAGGTAAGCAGACACATCTCTCACAGACAACATGATCCACTGATTTGTTCTGTGCAGTGTGCTGACGTAATGTAACAACTCTATACAGTTATTATGTAACAACCATGGATCAATAAGGGTTTTGAAGCTAGGCCATCTACTGTGTGTTATTACACACATAGCATGTTAGTTTCCAGTCCTATGTAAAATTATCTTAAAGATAGCAAAATTACGTTGCCACGAGCAGCACTGGAGATATTGAGATGAGCGAGATGCAACACTTCCCTCATGTGCACTGGGACCAAAACGCTTTAACGCTCTTAGTTGTTGTGGAAATTTACCCACTATGCTGTTTACTTTATGCATCAATGTCATATCGCTGAGTTTACCTTTAATGTTTGATAACTTCACATAGGACTGGCAAGTAGCCTATCCCTGACTGGTAACAGGTGGAAAATCAACAGGTGGGAAAGGCTATGGAATGCGATGTGGAAATGTCAGTGTTTATTTACCCTCCGTGGAATAGCCTTTATGTATTTGCCATATTGACAACAGCCTTTTCAGTCAGTAAAATATCAAAATCAAATGTTATTGGTCGCGTACACATACATTTATATTGCAGGTGTTATCGCAGGTGCAGTGAAATGCTTATGTTTCTAGCTACAACAGTGCAGAAATACGGAACAAGACAAAACAATATACACAAATCCAAAACATTTAAATACATTCATTAATAAATATCAGAACGATCAATGTCAGAGTCCGGAATATAAATATACAGTGGGGAGAACAAGTATTTGATACACTGCCGATTTTTGCAGGTTTTCCTACTTACAAAGCATGTAGAGGTCTGTAATTTTTATCATAGATACACTTCAACTGTGAGAGACGGAATCTAAAACAAAAATCCAGAGAATCACATTTGTATGATTTTTAAGTAATTAATTTGAAGTGTACCTATGATAAGAATTACAGACCTCTACCTGCTTTGTAAGTAGGAAAACCTGCAAAATCGGCAGTGTATCAAAAACTTGTTCTCCCCACTGTATACAGTGGGGGGGAAAAGGTATTTAGTCAGCCACCAATTGTGCAAGTTCTCCCACTTAAAAAGATGAGAGGCCTGTAATTTTCATCATAGGTACACGTCAACTATGACAGACAAAATGAGAGAAAAAAATCCAGAAAATCACATTGTAGGATTTTTAATTAATTTATTTGCATACAGTGCATTCGGAAAGTATTCAGACCCCTTTTTCCACATTTTGTTACGTTACAGCTATAATCAAAAATTGATCAAATTGTTTTTCCCCCTCATCAATCTACACACAATACCCCATAATGACAAAGCAAAAACAGGTTTTAAAGAATAGAAATCTGAAATATCACATTTACATAAGTATTCAGACCCTTTACTCAGTACTTTGTTGAAGCACCTTAGCAGCGATTACAGCCTTGAGTCTTCTTGGAAATGACGCTACAAGCTTGGCACACCTGTATTTGGGGAGTTTCTCCCATTTGTTCTCTGCAGATCCTCTCAAGCTCTGTCTGTTTGGATGGGGAGTGTTACTGCACAGCTATTTTCAGGTCTCTCCAGAGATGTTCGATCGGGTTCAAGTCCGGGTTCTGGCTGGGGCACTCAACGACATTCAGAGACTTGTCCAGAAGCCACTCATGCGTTGTCTTGGCTGTGTGCTTAGGGTCGTTGTCCTGTTGGAAGGTGAACCTTTGCCCCAGTTTGAGGTTCTGAGTGCTCTGGAGCAGGTTTTCATCAAGGATCTCTCTGTACTTTGCTCTGTTCATCTTTGCCTCGATTTTGACTAGTCTCCTAGTCCCTGCCGCTGAAAAACATCCCCACAGCATAATGCTGCCACCACCATGCTTCACCGTAGGGATGGTGCCAGGTTTCCTCCAGACGTGACGCTTGGCATTCAGGCCAAAGAGTTCAATCTTGGTTTCATCAGACCAGAGAATCTTGTTTCTCATGGTCTGAGAGTCTTTAGGTGCCTTTTGGCAAACTCCAAGCGGGCTGTCATGTGCCTTTTACTGAGGAGTGGCTTCCATCTGGCCACTCTACCATAAAGGCCTGATTGGTGGAGTGCTGCAGAGATTGTTGTCCTTCTGGAAGGTTCTCCCATCTCCACAGAGGAACTCTGTCAGACTGACCTTCAAGTTCTTGGTCACCTCCCTGACCAAGGCCCTTCTCCCCCGATTGCTCAGTTTGGCCGGGCGGCCAGCTCTAGGAAGAGTCTTGGTGGTTCTAAACTTCTTCCATTTAAGAATTATGGAGGCTACTGTGTTCTTGGGGACCTTCACTGCTGCAGAAATGTTTTGGTATCCTTCCCCAGATCTGTGCCTTGACACAATCTTGTCTCGGAGCTCTACGGACAATTCCTTCGACCTCAGGCTTGGTATTTTCTCTGACATGCAATGTCAACTGTGGGACCTTATATAGACATGTAGGCGTGTGCCTTTCCAAATGATGTCCAATCAATTGAATTTACCACAGGTGAACTCCAATCAAGTTGTAGAAACGTCTCAAGGATGCTTAATGGAAACAGGATGCACCGAAGCTCAATTTCAAGTCTCATTGCAAAGGGTCTGAATACTTATGTAAATAAGGTAATTCTGTTTTTTATTAATTTAACTGTTTGGCCATAATGACCATCGTTATGTTTGGAGGAAAAAGGGGGTTGCTTGCAAGCCGAAGAACACAATCCCAACCGTGAAGCACGGGGGTGGCAGCATCATGCTGTGGGGGTGCTTTGCTGCAGGAGGGACTGGTGTACTTCACAATATAGATGGCATCATGAGGAAGGAAAATTATGTGGATATATTGAAGCAACATCTCAAGACATCAGTCAGGAAATTAAAGCTTGGTCGCAAATGGGTCTTCCAAATGGACAATGACCCCAAGCATACTTCCAAAATAGGACAACAAAGTCAAGGTATTGGAGTGGCCATCACAAAGCCTTGACCTCAATCTTATAGAAAATGTGTGGGCAGAACTGAAAAGGCGTGTGCGAGCAAGGAGGCCTACAAACCTGACTCAGTTACACCAGCTCTGTCAGGAGGAATGGGCCAAAATTCACCCAACTTATTGTGGGAAGCTTGTGGAAGGCTACCCGAAAACGTTTGACCCAAGTTAAACAATTTAAAGACAATGCTATTCTGACCCACTGGGAATGTGATGAAAGAAATAAAAGCTGAAATAAATAATTTTCTCTACTATTATTCTGACATTTCACATTCTTATAATAAAGTGGTGATCCTAACTGACCTAAGACAGGGAATTTTTACTAGGATTAAATGTCAGGAATTGTGAAAAACTGAGTTTAAATGTATTTGGCTAAGGTATATGTAAACTTCAGACTTCAACTGTATATACCAGACCTAGTAGATGTGATTATTGGCTATTTCCATCTGATAAAGCCATCAGATGGCCTAAGCAATTGATTCTTAACTGAGCATGCTTGAAAGGTTTCATAATTAATTCCCTAGGCCTAGCCTACTCACTGCAGGACTGTCTGTTTACCCATCAGTGTTACACGATAGCCAATGTTAAGAGGGGTATTGAATTGATCATTTAAAATAAGATCTCAATGTGTGATACGATACGATGCTGAATGATCATGCTTTCTGACGGAACGTTACCATTGGCACCCATAGTCATTTGTTCTATTGAAAGCATCAATCCATAAATCAGGAAATCTATAGCACTCCTCCTGAATGATTGAACAAATTTAGCCAAGTGCTGCTTCGCATCACGTTTTTATCTGCACTTCGGTTAACTGCATTTATGCATAATGTACTATACTCCTGCATATCAGACAAGCTTTTACTCAAGTGGCGTTGCCATGCTGTTTTTTTTTATGAGTTTTTGTAACCACTAAAATGGAATTAGACAAATGGTGCATATGAAATTGACTTCAGGGTGTTGTTATTCCCAACCACCGTACCCAATAGGCTACACATCATGTGGTGTTTCAGTCCTTGGAATTACTACTGACTCAGTCCCTTCAAAACTCTGGGTTTTACAGCCCTGTTTGCTAGTTGTTTTGTAGGAAACATTCATGGCTGTGTGCGACACAGGTGTGAATAGGGATCAGGCGACAATAGGGTAGTCCTTATTTGCACCTAGTTGTGACTTGTTGGAGGCTGCTTGTTAGGTTATTAGTGCCAATGTCTTAAGGCACAGAGACACTGGTAGCGTTTGCCACCCGAGAGTACTTACCACCTCTGAACATGAAGGTGACGTCAGTTCAAGATCCAAAACTGAATGGATTAGTTTTCCGTCAAGGCTTCAACAATGACAGCTTTTATGATTTCTCGGATCTTATTTATGGGTTGCACTTGCTTATTTTATAATTCTATAATTGTACCTACTGTGTCAAAAATGTACAGTACCAGTCAAAAGTTTGGACACACCTACTCATTCAAGGGTTTTTCTTTATTTCTACTATTTCCTACATTGTAGAATAATAGTGAAGACATCAAAACTATGAAATAACACATATGGAATCATGTAGTAACCAAAAAAGTGTTAAACAAATCAAAATATATTTGAGATTCTTCAAATAGCCACCCTTTGCCTTGATGACAGTTTTGCACACTCTTGGCATTCTCTCAACCAGCTTCACCTGGAATGCTTTTCCAACAGTCTTGAAGGAGTTCCCACATATGCTGAGCACTTTTTGGCTGCTTTTCCTTCACTCTGCGGTCCGACTCATCCCAAGCTATCTCAATTGGGTTGAGGTCGGGGGATTGTGGAGGCCAGGTCATCGGATGCGGCACTCCAACACTCTCCTTCTTGGTAAAATAGCCCATACACAGCCTGGAGGTGTGTTGGGTCATTGTCCTGTTGAAAAACAAATGATAGTCCCACTAAGCCCAAACCAGATGGGATGGCGTATCGCTGCAGAATGCTGTGGTAGCCATGCTGGTTAAGTGTGCCTTGAATTCTAAATAAATCACAGACAGTGTCACCAGCAAAGCACCCCCACACCATAACACCTCCTCCTCCATGCTTTACGGTGGGAACTACACATGCAGAGATCATCCGTTCACCCACACTGCGTCTGACAAAGACACGGTTGTAACCAAAAATCTCAAATTTGGACTCCAGACCAAAGGACAAATTTCCACCGGTCTAATGCCCATTGCTCGTGTTTCTTGACCCAAGCAGGTCTCTTCTTCTTATTGGTGTCCTTTAGTAGTGGTTTCTTTGCAGCAATTCGACCATGAAGGCCTGATTCACGCAGTCCCCTCTGAACAGTTGATGTTGAGATGTGTCTGTTACTTGAACTCTGAAGCATTTATTTGGGCTGCAATTTCTGAGGCTGGTAACTCTAATGAGCTTATCCTCTGCAGCAGAGGTAAATCTGGGACTTCCATTCCTGTGGTGGTCCTCATGAGAGCACGTTTCATCATAGCGCTTGATGGTTTTTGCGACTGCACTTGAAGAAACTTTCAAAGTTCTTGAAACTTTCCGTATTGACTGACCTTCATGTCTTAAAGTAATGATGTACTGTCGTTTCTCTTTGCTTATTTGAGCTGTTCTTGCCATAATATGGACTTGGTCTTTTACCAAATAGGGTTATCTTCTGTATTACTTTTCTTGGTGTTATGATGTGATTAGGCTATTAGCATAACATGCTACAGACATAACCTATCTTCTCTATTTGACGGTATGAAAAATATATGTTCAGTGTTGTGCAGCTGCTCCACTCTACCAAAAGCCAATTGAGAACCGCTACCGATTTTGGTTCTGGAGCTTCTTATTCATATTTAAAGTGGGTTTGTTAAATTTGGCCCGTGGAAAATCTCGGGGGATTGGATTCGGGTCACTTACCGAAAATAACTGTATCATCGTTATTTTGTCCTATTTTGCTTGTACACTCACAGTATCAGCAACAAAATCAAGACCGACCAAGAATAGATAGGCTCTATTTTTGTTGTCAGACCTTGATCAATGTTGGGAGCTCAGACAATCTTTGCTGAATCTGCTTATCATCACTAAGAAATTAAGGACATTTTGCAGATCTGAACACAATTTCTCTGTATTTCATTGAATGACAAACCTTTGGCCAACCATTGTCTATTCTGTTTCATTAGTGTCTTCTGATGAGTGATGTGACTCCACCACCCTGTATTTAGTGGATCCAGGGACACAGCCTGCATGATGGTGTGATTTACATAGTGTGGACAGAGGACTTGTTTGATGCTGGTCCTCCTAATAAAGAGGGGATTCAGAGACGAGGGTTGGCTTGGTCCCTAAGTAGAATCTTGACTTAAACCAATTTCCTGTCATGACGAGAAAGAGAGAAAGGACCCAATCCTCCCATTTTAATAGGCTGTTTACTCTGGGTTACTTTATAGATCATGTCCCGATCTGTTACAGACACATCTCAACATCAACTGTTCAGAGGGGACTGTATGAATCAGGCCGCCATCTAACATGTGCCTTGAAAAAGGCTTTTTAAAGAGCCGTCAAAAACGAATGAAACTCTGTGGTAATAGGATTAAACTGGGAACCCCCATAAAATCAGGAATTAGACAATCTCATTCTTTCTCATTCAGCTAAATAATAATAATAAACTATTCTCCTGGGACACAGATGTCTGTTGAGAAAAGGATTTAGGGCAAAATAATCTGATTATCCAAAAGATTCACAACATAGCCTACTTAGTAGGGCCCATGTCGATGTGAGCTTTGCCCAATGCTGGTTCTGATCTCCTATTATTAGTGCTTACTCTTTTTCTGCTCAATCAGGCATTTCCTTTTACGTTTTGCATTTAAATAGTTTCCGACCCCAGCCATTTGAATGGCGTCAGCACAGTCAGTAGGCAGCAAGCAGTCATGGCAGGGGCAACGCATGCCCCCGGAGCGATGACCAGCATCCACAGTAGCCTACGTGCGCTGCTGTGCACACTTTTGGGGAATCGGAACTGTTGTTACATCACTAAACACACCATTTGCTAGCAGCTCAATTAGATTACCAAAAGATAATCATTATTTCATACCTACTGACAATCAACAAGAGTTCACCTGTGCCTCATTTTGATTGCTTTGTAGTTATGAAATTGTTGAACGCTGCCAAATAATGTAGATGCCAACCAAGTTGTGTTAGAACTACAGTGTAGGCAAAAACACTGGTGTGACATCCAAGAGTCCCTATCAGAAACTTGCCCTTTGCTCTAAAGAGGTTATCAGAGGTGTGAAGAGTTGGGTGGTCTGTAGAATCTAGATGTGTCTGTAGATGTCTGCCATAGCCCAAATATATGGCTAGCCTATATATAGCTAGTTCCTATGTGCAGATAAGAGGACCCCAACTCTAGCTGATAACTGACTCTGGCCCTCTGGATCTCTGCAGAGATTATGCAAACCCAGCCCAAGGCTTATTCCCATGAGGGGGAAATTACATTGGTGTAAGAAGAGGTTGTGCTGTGCAGAGAGAGATTCATCAAAGTGGTATCCTCTCCTGCTGGAAGCGAGTTGTAGGAGGAGAGAAACTGGTTTCAGAATAAAGGCCTGTGGAGGGAAACTAATACAGTGGGGGAAAAAAGTATTTAGTCAGCCACCAATTGTGCAAATTCTCCCACTTAAAAAGATGAGAGAGGCCTGTAATTTTCATCATAGGTACACGTCAACTATGACAGACAAATTGAGGAAAGAAAATCCAGAAAATCACATTGTAGGATTTTTAATGAATTTATTTGAGTTTGAGTTTATTTTTACAGGGACAGTGCACATTTATCAACGTTTCAGTAAAAGTGCCGGTTTTAGCCAGCCGGCTAATTTTCAACCGCAGTCCCTGGGCAGGTTATTAAAAACAATTACAATATGGACAATAACAACATAGAACAAGACATAGCATACAGACATAGCAACATAGGACAAGCAAGACGTAGCATACAGACCGAGCAACATAGAACAAAAAGCAGCAAGACAAAATTCATAAAAGCAACAAAATGTTTCCACACCTCACAAGTTACAGACAACAGACATGGAAAGCGGCAACACACAGCTAGGGACCATGTTCACAAATCTGATTGACCTTTAGCCATGTCTTCAAGCATTTTGTGAAAGTGTGATATGTGGTGCAGTTGTGTGTGTCTGATGGCAGTGTATTCCAGACATGGGAAGCTCTCACAGAAAAAGCAGATTTACTAAAGGTGCTTTTCCTTAGGGGAACTACACAGTCACCTCTCATGGCAGACCTTGTGGATCTGCTGCCATATGTTTGGTTTTTCTGTTTAACAAAAATACTGAGTGGAGGGGGAGCCAAGCCATTTAGGATCTTGAATACAAGACATGCATCGGTGTATTGCACAAGATTTTCCCAACTCAGGAGCTCATGCTTTCTAAGGATGTGACAGTGATGATGGCTATTGGGCTTCCTATCAAGCACTTTGAGAGCCTGTTTGTAGACAGACTGAATAGGTCTTACTGTTGTACAGCAAGCTTGGGCCCAACTAGTCAAGCAGTATGTTAAGTGGGGGAGTATCATAGATTTGAAGTACAGTTTTGCTACCTCTGTAGTCAAACAATTTCGTATAAATCGGAAATTAGCTAGGTTGAATTTGGTTATTTGAATTACCTTTTTCACATGCTTTTTAAAAGAGAGGTTGGAATCAAGTATGATGCCAAGGTACTTAAAATCAGATACCCCCTGGAGCTTCTCCCCTGACACATAGACTTCTGGCTCAGTAGCATCTGTTGCCCTCTTTGTGAAGAACATGCAAACAGTTTTTTTCACATTGAGATGCAAACACGAGTCACTGAGCCACTTTGTAACCTGGACCATTACAGTAGTGAGTTCTTGTGCAGCTTGTTGTTTGCTCTTTGCATGCACATATATCACTGTATCATCTGCATACATTTGAACTTCAGACCCAGTACAGACAGAAGGCAGATCATTAATGTACAGGCTGAACAGGAGGGGCCCCAGTATTGACCCTTGGGGCACACCCACATCATAGCTAAGAGTGGGCGATAGCTCATTGCTCACTCTGACACACTGAGTTCTGCCTTCAAGGTATGATTTCATCCATCTCAAGGCATCGGGGGAAAAGTTGAACTTGGACAATTTTGTGATGAGAATCTCATGGTTAACAGTATCAAAAGCCTTCCGTAGGTCCAGAAACACAGCCCCAACAACGCCCCCTTTGTCCATCTTGGACTTCACATTTTCCAGAAAAAAGCAGTTGGCCATTTCTGTGGAGTGTTTCGCTCTGAAGCCAAACTGCATGGAATGTAATGTGAAGGGGCTGTTGTTGAGGTGGGCAATCAGTTGTTCTGCTACACACTTTTCAACAACCTTTGACACCACAGGTAGTATACTAATGGGCCTGTAGTTACTCACGTCAGCAGGGTCGCCTGATTTAAAGATGGCCGTTATTATGGCCGACTTCCATACCCTTGGAAACACCCCGAGACCAATAGATGTGTTGGTGACCTTAGTAATGGGGCCAATGAGTGACTCTTTGTAGTTTTTAAGAAAGGTAGAGTCCATCCCAAACACATCTTTGGCTTTAGAGTTCTTTAGTGAGCTAATCACCTTGTCTACCTTTGACTCAGAAACCTCCCTTATGATGAAGACAGGTTGAGCATCATTTACTAGCAAATTATGGAGGAAAATAAGTATTTGGTCACCTACAAACAAGCAAGATTTCTGGCTCTCACAGACCTGTAACTTCTTCTTTAAGAGGCTCCGCTGTCCTCCACTCGTTACCTGTATTAATGGCACCTGTTTGAACTTGTTATCAGTATAAAAGACACCTGTCCACAACCTCAAACAGTCACACTCCAAACTCCACTATGGCCAAGACCAAAGAGCTGTCAAAGGACACCAGAAACAAAATTGTAGACCTGCACCAGGTCTCACCCCGTGGGGTCAAAATTATCACAAGAACGGTGAGCAAAAATCCCAGAACCACACGGGGGGACCTAGTGAATGACCTGCAGAGAGCTGGGACCAAAGTAACAAAGCCTACCATCAGTAACACACTACGCCGCCAGGGACTCAAATCCTGCAGTGCCAGATGTGTCCCCCTGCTTAAGCCAGTACATGTCCAGGCCCGTCTGAAGTTTGCTAGAGTGCATTTGGATGATCCAGAAGAGGATTGGGAGAATGTCATATGGTCAGATGAAACCAAAATAGAACTTTTTGGTAAAAACTCAACTCGTCGTGTTTGGAGGACAAAGAATGCTGAGTTGCATCCAAAGAACACCATACCTACTGTGAAGCATGGGGGTGGAAACATCATGCTTTGGGGCTGTTTTTCTGCAAAAGGAACCAGGACGACTGATCCGTGTAAAGGAAAGAATGAATGGGGCCATGTATCGTGAGATTTTGAGTGAAAACCTCCTACCATCAGCAAGGGCATTGAAGATGAAACGTGGCTGGGTCTTTCAGCATGACAATGATCCCAAACACACCGCCCGGGCAACGAAGGAGTGGCTTCGTAAGAAGCATTTCAAGGTCCTGGAGTGGCCTAGCCAGTCTCCAGATCTCAACCCCATAGAAAATCTTTGGAGGGAGTTGAAAGTCCGTGTTGCCCAGCGACAGCACCAAAACATCACTGCTCTAGAGGAGATCTGCATGGAGGAATGGGCCAAAATACCAGCAACAGTGTGTGAAAACCTTGTGAAGACTTACAGAAAACGTTTGACCTGTGTCATTGCCAACAAAGGGTATATAACAAAGTATTGAGAAACTTTTGTTATTGACCAAATACTTATTTTGCACCATAATTTGCAAATAAATTCATTAAAAATCCTACAATGTGATTTTCTGGAATTTCTTTCCTCATTTTGTCTGTCATAGTTGACGTGTACCTATGATGAAAATTACAGGCCTCTCTCATCTTTTTAAGTGGGAGAACTTGCACAATTGGTGGCTGACTAAATACTTTTTTTCCCCACTGTATGTATCCTCGCTCGTTTGAGGCTTTCAGAAAGCCCACCACTTTACACTTAAGATCTGTTGACATGGAGCAAGGCTTCGCTGAGGCTACGATGATTCCTCTTTGCAAGGAGAGCATTGCATCACTGCATGTGCATATTTATCACCCATGGCTTGGACTGCCTTCAGACAAACTACAGCTGTGGTCTGCGTTTCTAAATGTAAGTGTCTTTGCATGGCCTTCTGAAAATGAACAGTGCAAGAGGTAGCCTTGGTCTTTGAGTCTGGTATAGAGGGTTGTAGCCAGTCTAGCCACAATTGTAGAAGTAGGCTATTAGCTTTATGACTTTCTTCCCTGAGGGGCCCACAGTAATATCATATAGGCCATTTACCCACCCATCACTATTATCATAAAGTGAAGACATCCCACTGGGCACACACAGGTTGAATCAACGTTTCCGTGTCATTTCAATGGAATTACTTTGAACCAACGTGGAATAGATGTTAAATTGACATTTGTGCCCAGTGGGATTATTCAATGATCCTTCAAGACAGTTAACTTTGATGCAGTTCCAAGCAACATTCAGTATTGCTATGTCCCTACCTCATAAACAAGCTAGCCTCAGTCAGTACTTAACAGTTTACCCTACCTCATAAACAAGCTAGCCTCATCCATTACTTAACAGTTTACCCTACCTCATAAACAAGCTAGCCTCATCCAGTACTTAACAGTTTACCCTACCTCATAAACAAGCTAGCCTCATCCAGTACTTAACAGTTTACCCTACCTCATAAACAAGCTAGCCTCATCCAGTACTTAACAGTTTACCCTACCTCATAAACAAGCTAGCCTCATCCAGTACTTAACAGTTTACCCTACCTCATAAACAAGCTAGCCTCATCCAGTACTTAACAGTTTACCCTACCTCATAAACAAGCTAGCCTCATCCAGTACTTAACAGTTTACCCTACCTCATAAACAAGCTAGCCTCAGTCAGTACTTAACAGTTTACCCTACCTCATAAACAAGCTAGCCTCATCCAGTACTTAACAGTTTACCCTACCTCATAAACAAGCTAGCCTCATCCAGTACTTAACAGTTTACCCTACCTCATAAACAAGCTAGCCTCATCCAGTACTTAACAGTTTACCCTACCTCATAAACAAGCTAGCCTCATCCAGTACTTAACAGTTTACCCTGCCTCTGACGTGTTTGAAGATGACGTAGTGTTATAGAGGCGAAAGAAACGCACACCTATTTAGGCGAGGTGCAGGCTAACAGAGTAAAACACTTGGAAAAGGAATGCCGCACACTCTAGGAGCTCAGATGCAATAATTTAATATCCTAATAACCAACGTTTCGACAGACAAGCGGTCTTCATCAGGGTATATGATGACGTAGGGCACATAAAAATGGGTTTCCATCACATTTTCAACTCTACTGATGGTTTTCTCACACAAAACATCGCGTTAGATAGCGAGTGTACCCACTCTGGTATTGGCACGTGCGCTCTAGTCTAGCCAACAGCTCGCAGATACAGTGCGGGTAGGCCTTTAGCCTACATGATGAGATTGTTATGGACAAGAAAACAACTAGTTTATTTTTATTTGTCAAACGGCAGCCAAGCATCAATGATCATGTCACCAGAATAAGAACCTCGATATTTATTGGAAAGGAGCATCAAGCTCATCACCGTGCCCTTTCACCACCCTGTGAAGTTCATCATAATTTATTTAATCTGTAGCCTAATAAACTGCATGCTTTCCCGACGAGTCCTAATATTTGCGCATAAAAGCATTTCCACCAACATTTCTCACATAATTTATTTTACAGACACAAATAAATCCCACCTTGTCTAGCGTATTTTGTTTTGTCGACATTTGGAAAGTTTACCGACACATTTTCTGTTTCCATCAGGCCTGGCGTGACATTTTTTATCTTACATGTACTTTACTCCCATAAGAAGTTTGGATGGAAACCTGGTTACAGACACATGGTCCTGAGTCTGGCAGTAGTGAGCGGATGTGGCTCTGCTATCTCTTGTGATCTTCCCAGCGGCTCATTTTCTCTCATCACTGCTGAAAGATTCAGTAGATTCAGCAGCAGCGCCGCTTTGAATTAGGCCGAGATGATGAAATCCCCATACTGAGGAGTCTCTACTCCAGACTCATTTTTACACTGGTGCTCTCATTTTACAGCCACACAGAGCAGATCAGCTCCCTCAGACTTCTTCAGTTTTTTGCCCACCGGCAACATTGTAAGTTTTTTCTCCACTGAAACAGACAGTTGAAGTGACAATGAACTGAGCTTGAACTGGCTCTGAATATGTATTTTCAATGTATCTACTATTTATTAGTTCAAGACCAGTGGCAGTGAAAGGAGGAATATTGTCTACAGTGCTCTAGTTCAGCTATCTGTGGCTGTCTGTGGGTCTGGCCTCCGTTTGTGTCCTTACTTATCACCATACAGTTCACTTCAGCACAGTGAAAGGTGATGATGGGCCTCCTGTAGCTCAGTTGGTAGAGCATGGCGCTTGCAATGCCAGGGTTGTGGGTTTGATTCCCACGGGGGGCCAGTATGAAAAATGTATGCACTCACTAAAACTGTAAGTTGCTCTGGATAAGAGCGTCTGCTAAATGACTAAAATGTAAAATGTAATGATAGTTCCATGCTCTGTTTCTGCAGTCAGCTATCAGCCCATAGCTTTATCTCCTTCAAGACCAGAGAAAAAGGACACTAACAGTTTCTAGGTCAAATGGACCATGGCGACTCTGGTATAATTGTTCCCCCAGACCCAACAAAATCATTTTTCTAGTTGACTTTCTTATACTTCTGCTCTTTCCTTGTCTCTGTGAATGAAAACTGGTCTGGTTCGGTTTCCAGCATTATCACACTATAGGCTACCCTGGTCCCAGATCTGTTTGTGCTGTCTTGCCAACTCCTATCATTGTCAATGACCATAGGAGTTGGCAAGACAGCACAAACAAATCCAGGACCAGGCCAAAAAAAAGACTATGCAACTCACTGAGTCCAAACTAGCCTTGGCTAATTACGAGTAGCATCTGTTGCCATGTGAAATGTGATCTGTGCAGGATGACAATGGAGCCATTTATTAGAGCAGGGAGCCTGAGAGACTGATCAATGGGCAGCAGCCTTCAAAAGCCAAACACTGGGGTGCTGTATTCTTTGGCATAGGGATCGCTTTCAAGGATAGAGGTAGTCTGTCTTTGTTTGGTCAAGGTCAGGTCAATGTAATGGGGTTTAGAATTATGCCACAATTCACAAGATCATATGAAAATAAGCTATAGGCCTAGGTTATAAACAAAATAAACTCAGCAAAAAAAGAAACGTCCCTTTTTCAGGACCCTGTCTTTCAAAGATAATTTGTGAAAATCCAAATAACTTCACAGATCTTCATTGTAAAGGGTTTAAACACTGTTTCCCATGCTTGTTCAATGAACCATAAACAATTAATGAACATGCACCTGCGGAACGGTCGTTAAGACACTAACAGCTTACAGACGGTAGGCAATTAAGGTCACAGGGCAGTCAAGTCTCCTCAGACTTGACTGCCCTTGACCAGCACAAAAACATCCTGTGGCGTACTGCATTAGCATCAAATAGCCCCCGCGATATGCAACTTTTCAGGGAAGTTAGGAACCAATATACACAAGCAGTTAGGAAAGCAAAGGCTAACTTTTTCAAACAGAAATTTGCATCCTGTAGCACTAACTCCAAAAAGTTTTGGGACACTGTAAAGTCCATGGAGAATAAGAGCACTTCCTCCCAGCTGCCCACTGCACTGAGGCTAGGAAACACTATCACCACCGATAAATCTACAATAATCGAGAATTCCAACAAGCATTTTGCTACGGCTGGCCACGCTTTCCACCTGGCTACCACTACCCTGGCCACCAGCTCTGCACCCTCCGCTGCAACTTGCCCATGCCCCCCCCGCTTCTCCTTCACACAAATCCAGACAGCTGATGTTCTGAAAGAGCTGCAAAATCTGGACCCCTACAAATCATCTGGGCTAGACAATCTGGACCCTTTCTTTCTAAAACTAGCCGCCGAAATTGTCGCAACCCCTATTACTAGCCTGTTCAACCTCTCTTTCGTAACGTCTGAGATCCCCAGAGATTGGAAAGCTGCCGCGGTCATCCCCCTCTTCAAAGGGGGTGACACTCTAGATCCAAACTGTTACAGACCCATATCCATCCTGCCCTGCCTTTCAAAAGTTTTTGAAAGTCAACAAACAGATCACCGACCATTTCGAATCCCACCGTACCTTCTCCGCTATGCAATCCGGTTTCCGAGCTGGTCATGGGTGCACTTCAGCCACGCTCAAGGTCCTAAACGATATTATAACCGCGATCGATAATAGACAGTACTGTGCAGCCGTTTTCATTGACCTGGCCAAGGCTTTCGACTCTGTCAACCACCGCATTCTTATTGGTAGACTAAATAGCCTTGGTTTCTCAAATGACTGCCTCGCCTGGTTCACCAACTACTTCTCAGATAGAGTTCAATGTGTCAAATCGGAGGGCCTGTTGTCTGGACCTATGGCAGTCTCTAATGGGGGTGCCACAGGGTTCAATTCTTGGGCCGTCTCTTTTCTCTGTGTATATCAATGACGTCGCTCTTGCTGCTGGTGACTCTCAGATCCACCTCTACGCAGACGACACCATTTTGTATACATCTGGCCCTTCATTGGACACTGTGTTAACAAACCTCCAAACGAGCTTCAATGCCATACAACACTCCTTCAGTAGCCTCCAACTGCTCTTAAACACTAGTAAAACTAAATGCATGCTCTTCAACCGAACGCTGCTTGCACCCGCCCACCCGACTAGAATCACTACTCTCGACGGGTCTGACCTAGAGTATGTGGACAACTACAAATACCTAGGTGTCTGGTTAGACTGTAAACTCTCCTTCCAGACTCACATTAAGAATCTCCAATCCAAAGTTAAATCTAGAATCGGTTTCCTATTTCGCAACAAAGCCTCCTTCACTCATGCTGCCAAACATGCCCTCGTAAAACTGACTATCCTACCGATCCTTGACTTCGGCGATGTCATTTATAAAATAGCCTCCAACACTCTACTCAGCAAATTGGATGTAGTCTATCACAGTGCCATCCGTTTTGTCTCCCATGCCCCATATAATACCCACCACTGTGACCTGTACGCCCTTGTTGGCTGGTCCTCACTACATATTCGTCGCCAAACCCACTGGCTCCAGGCCATCTATAAATCACTGCTAGGCAAATCCCCACCTTATCTTAGCTCATTGGTCACCATAGCAACACCCACCCGTAGTCTGCGCTCCAGCAGGTATATCTCACTGGTCATCCCCACAGCCAACACCTCCTTTGGCCGCAATTCCTTCCAGTTCTCTGCTGCCAATGACTGGAACAAATTGCAAAAATCTCTGAAGCTGGAGACACTTATCTCCCTCACTAACTTTAAGCATCAGTTGTCAGAGCACCTTACCGATCACTGCACCTGTATACAGCCCATCTGAAATTAGCCCGCCCAACTACCTCATCCCTATATTGTTATTTATTTTGCTCATTTGTACCCCAGTATCTCTATTTGCACATCATCTCTTGCACATCTATCATTCCAGTGTTAATACTAATTGTAATTATTTTGCACTATAGCCTATTTATTGCCTTACCTCCATAACTTGCTACATTTGCACACACTGTATATATATGTATTTCTGTTGTATTTTTGACTTTGTTTTGTTTTACCCCATATGTAACTCTGTGTTGTTGTTTTTATCGCACTGCTTTGCTTTATCTTGGCCAGGTCGCAGTTGTAAATGAGAACTTGTTCTCAGCTGGTTTACCTGGTTAAATAAAGGTTAAATAAAATAAAAAAACAGTTATGAAAACTTAGGACACTAAAGAGGCCTTTCTACTGACTCTGAAAAACACCAAAAGAAAGATGCCCAGGGTCCCTGCTCATCTGCGTGAACGTGCCTTAGGCATGCTGCAAGAAGGCATGAGGACTGCAGATGTGGCCAGGGCAATAAATTGCAATGTCCGTACTGTGAGACGCCTAAGACAGCGCTACAGGGAGACAGGACGGACAGCTGATCGTCCTTGCAGTGGCAGACCACGTGTAACAACACCTGAACAGGATCGGTACATCCGAACATCACACCTGCGGGACAGGTACAGGATGGCAACAACAACTGCCCGAGTTACACCAGGAACGCACAATCCCTCCATCAGTGCTCAGACTGTCCGCAATAGGCTGAAAGAGGCTGGACTGAGGGCTTGTAGGCCTGTTGTAAGGCAGGTCCTCACCAGACATCACCGGCAACAACGTCGCCTATGGGCACAAACCCACCGTCGCTGGACAAGACAGAACTGGCAAAAAGTGCTCTTCACTGACGAGTCGCGGTTTTGTCTCACCAGGGGTGATGGTCGGATGCGCGTTTATCGCAAAGGATTGAGCGTTACACCGAGGCCTGTACTCTGGAGCGGGATCGTTTTAGAGGTGGAGTGTCCGTCATGGTCTGGGGCGGTGTGTCACAGCATCATCGGACTGAGCTTGTTGTCAACGCTATGCGTTACAGGGAAGACATCCTCCTCCCTCATGTGGTACCCTTCCTGCAGGCTCATCCTGACATGACCCTCCAGCATGACAATGCCACCAGCCATACTGCTCGTTCTGTGCGTGATTTCCTGCAAGACAGGAATGTCAGTGTTCTGCCATGGCCAGCGAAGAGCCTGGATCTCAATCCCATTGAGCACGTCTGGGACCTGTTGGATCGGAGGGTGAGGGCTAGGGCCATTCCCCCCAGAAATGTCTGGGAACTTGCAGGTGCTGGCAAATCTGGTGCAGTCCATGAGGAGGAGATGCACTGCAGTACTTAATGCAGCTGGTGGCCAAACCAGATACTGACTCTTACTTTTGATTTTGACCCCCCCCCCCCCCCCCCCCCCCCCCCCTTTGTTCAGGGACACATTATTCAATTTATTTTAGTCACATGTCTGTGGAACTTGTTCAGTTTATGTCTCAGTTGTTGAATCTTGTTATGTTCATACAAATATTTGCACGTTAAATTTGCTGAAAATAAACACAGTTGACAGTGAGAGGACGTTTCTTTTTTTGCTGAGTTTACATGTATTTCTTATATGAATACTGTACGTAGGTAGGCATCATTTGATATTTCTGTGAAAACCATCCCTAAATCTAAGGCCTACAGTGAGGGGAAAAAAGTATTTGATCCCTTGCTGATTTTGTACGTTTGCCTACTGACAAAGACATGATCAGTCTATAATTTTAATGGTAGGTTTATTTGAACAGTGAGAGACAGAATAACAACAACATCCAGAAAAATGCATGTCAAAAATGTTATAAATTGATTTGCATTTTAATGAGGGAAATAAGTATTTGACCCCTCTGCAAAACATGACTTAGTACTTGGTGGCAAAACCCTTGTTGGCAATCAGAGGTCAGACGTTTCTTGTAACTGTTGTCACCTTCTCACCAAGCTGCTTGGCGATGGTCTTGTAGACCATTCCAGCCTTGTGTATGTCTACAATCTTGTCCCTGACATCCTTGGAGGGGTGTTTGGTCTTGGCCATGGGGAGAGTTTGTAATCTGATTGATTGATTGCTTCTGTGGACAGGTGTCTTTTATACAGGTAACAAACTGAGATTAGGAGCACTCCCTTTAAGAGTGTGGTCCTAATCTCAGCTCGTTACCTGTATAAAAGACACCTGGGAGCCAGAAATCTTTCTGATTGAGAGGGGGTCAAATACTTATTTCCCTCATTAAAATGCAAATCAATTTATTTGACATAAACATTTTTGGCAAGCGTTTTTCTGGATTTTGTTGTTGTTATTCTGTCTCTCACTGTTCAAATAAACCTACCATTAAAATTATAGACTGATCATGTCTTTGTCAGTGGGCAAATGTACAAAATCAGCAGGGGATCAAATATTTTTTTCCCTCACTGTACCTCTTAGTTGTGTTACGGTATAACACGGCCCCATAGCTGCTTATTACCAGGACATTTTCAGCCATATTACCTGCTGTAACTTGCAGTAATAGGCCTATAGCCTAGTAGGTACCAATATGAGGCTGATGTGTGAAGGTTCCACAGTGTCTTAGGACAACTGCTAGTGATTTGTAAGCACCTTCTTTCTCTGTTTTTAACGAGGCAATTTTCCACTGCAGTTTTTCAGTTCCACAAAATGTTCACATCTAAATATTGTTGTTGTACTAACATTGATCCAGGGCAATCAAGGACAGCTCACAGGTGGGTGGTCTTTGGCTGGACATGGGGGTGTAGTAGGTTACAATATTTTAAATGACATTTAACGAATGAAAGAGAACATTTTCTGAGGGATTCTTCATATAGAAGTTGGTGGGTGTCCAGGTCTGGACTGTGTGGTCCTAGGCTCTCTAGCCTCCTTGTGCTTATCATATGCTGTCGTTGGTGGTCATACAATTGTCATTTATTGATAGTATTTGTATGAGCAACGTCTGAATGCAGCCCTGGCTACAGGTTTTTATCAGTGATTCCAGATGCAAGCCTCTGTTTCCTGTTGTATTTGTGCTACAGAGTATTCCACAGTGAAAGCCTCTCATTCTCTCTCCAGATAAGACCATTATGTCTCAGTTTGTAATCAAACCTGGAAAACTGAGAACTCCGAGTGGAAGCCTAGCTGTGTCAGTCAGATAACAGAGAGATTGTGATGTCATTGTCGTGAGTAAGGTAAAGAACACCAGTTGGGAACTCTAGCTTGAGCTTCTCAATTGAGCATAGCCTTTGAAATGCACAGGGTGTCTTTTTCATTACCACAATCATAGTTTTACGCTCCTGTTATCACACAGGCATAGAACAATATAAATAAATATCAATTTTGAGTGCTTTCAATGGGGTGTGAAAAGAAACAGACCACTGTTGTGAACTCTGTGTGAGGTAATGTTAAAAATTTGGCAGAAGGCAACACTAAGGCCATATTGCTCTGGGTACAAATCACTCTACGCTTCAACGAACGGCTGCAAATTAGTTATATATTTCTCTCAGCAGATGGTGCCTCTTAGTCCGGCCTCTTTTGAGGTATTGTGGGCAAAATTGTTTAATGTTGTTTTGGTTCCTCATCCTCCATGGCCTACACCCTTAAGTAAGGTAGAGAGGAGATTCAGCAACACTTGGAAGGACAAATGGAAATAAATAAAAAAGCTTATTTTTTGAAAATATTTGAACAAACATGTTTCGGCTTTTAAACATTTCAAAATGGGCTCAGGGACCAATAACAAGGAATATGCCAATAAAAATGTGATTGGTTAAAACAGTTGCACCCTTAAGTAGCCAGATTCACTCAGCCACCCAACATAGCAATAAACCACCCTCGGCTTATATAGCCAACTTCATTGATAAGAATGATTTCCTTTATGAGGTAACGTGTTATTCTGTCCCAGTAACAGTGTTTGCTCTCCTAGGAGCAGACCTGAGAATAGAAGAGGCTGAGACAGAGTAGAGGAGAGCGCAGAGTGACACAGTCCTCAGGGCTTCTCCGGTTACAAGCCTCCCTCTGCCCTCCTGTCTTTCAAAGGAAATCTGGACCGAGGAGAGTGGAAGGGATGGAAGGGGGTGGGGAGTGCGAGAAGACGCATGGGGAACTTGAGTGTTCTCCAATGAATTACACAATACTCCTGCAATGGAAAGGTCTGGTTCTCTGGAGAAAGTCTCTGGAGAATAATTTGGTTGCTTACTAACTCCTCTACATCCCTATATTTCTTCCACTCGCTCTCCCTCTTTCTGCATCTCTCTTCCTTTCTCCTGGTCTCCATCTCACAAAGACTCCCCTCTAGGGCTGGGAATTTCCAGGGACCTCATGATATGATATTATCGCGATACCTAGGTCCCGATACGATATGCATTGCGATTCTCACAATTCTATATGTATTGTGATTGCATACTGCGATTTTATTGCAATTTGATGTTCCAAACGTTTTGCTCACTACATGTCTGCTGCAGAGAGACGAGAGAGCATGAGAAAATGAGTTCTGATCAGTCATGGAAATAAAAGTGCTGAAACATATTGGCTCACTATTTAAAAAGAAGATGGAGAACAAGCTATATGATGAAAAAAAGACCTGAGTTTTGCCGCAGGTACAGCCGACTAACGCTACCTAGTCAAACTTTTTTTTTTTACAAATCGATACTTGTAGTCAAAGTATCAATATAATATCATCCAAAATAATATTGCGATTTGTAACTATTGATTTCCCCCCATTGCTACCCCCCTTCCCCTTTCTCTTGTCTTATCTTAAAATGGATTCCCAGAGGATAAAACACCAGGGCACCATGAATATTTGACGGAGTGCAGACATGACCTCAGTCTGGCTGGGCAGCCCAGACGAGAGCACTTGGCTGGACATTATGAAAACTACTCTGTAACTGCTAAGCTATGTGGGCATCTGTCTCGGACCATAGCTAGCTGTCCTATTCGGTGATGTAATCCACCATTGCTTGTTCAACTGTTTATTGGGCTCCAGAGTGGCGCAGTGGTCTAAGACACTGCATCTCAGTGCTTGAGGCATCACTACAGACCCCCTTGTTCGATTCCAGGCTGTATCACAACCGGCCGTGATTGGGAGTCCCATAGGGCAGCGCACAATTGGCCCAGCGTCGTCCGGTTTGGCCGGTGTAGGCCGTCATTGTAAATAAGAATTTGTTCTTAACTGACTTGCCTAGTTAAATAAAGGTAAAATAAAAAATTTGCTAAACTAATTGTCATTGATAGTGTTTCATTATAGACGTTCTACTGCCAGAGGTGTGCGGTGCTGTAAGGATAGAAATGTCCTTTGTGCCTGTAGAGGACATCACTTATTTTCACTCCTCTTTTGTTGCTTATGTAAGTGACTTGTTACACTGTCAGACATTTTTTGTTCTGTTCTTTCTTTTTCTTAAAGTAGACTAACTTGTTCACGTTCTTAGCTCGTCTAGAAAAGGATGAACCTGTTTTCTATTCTAATTTTGACCTTGTCATGAGGACTCGAATCTTGCATAGGGTCTTGGTTTTATCGTTACATCCATAAGCTAAGCAAATGTTAGCAGTGAACATGTGGGAAAGCAATCGATCAACGATAACGGCGATTCTATAACATGAAACCATTGACTTTTAGAGGGGGTCTGCTCAGTACTCAGCTGTTTATCTCTTGGATCTGGATTTAGATCTAATGAAAGTCAACTGATAAAAACAAAGGAATCTTTCCCATCTAAGAAGCTTCCCAGATAAAGTGAACGCCAACACAGATTGTTCAGTTGTACTCGGGGTTCGCAGCCGACTGCCAGCCTTAGAAGAACTAGTCACGTGAGGGGCTCTGCTCAAAACAGAACCATGTGTGGGCTTGTAGTTAGCATTAATACCAAAATACCTCTTTCTTTCCCCACCCCTTCTTTTTTTCAAATTGCACAACCATTTAATTACTTTTTTACTGTAAGGAGCCTGGCAAAGAACAAAGGAAATTATATAATTCGTATTGGTATCTCAGCTTTCCCTGCAGCTCATATAGGTTAGGACCTAGGCCTGTCAGTGTGTGTTTCCCAGCTGCTTGGCTGAAACAGAATTTGTAATCCGATTCTGATAATGAAAGGTGGGTGGGTTCTTATAAAGTGTTCCATATGTTGGTACTCAGTTGGACTCCGTGGGTTTCTGCTTCTGCTCGAAGCTGTGTGCGCGTGTGTTTATTTAGTGAGTTTTATCATCTACTCAAACTCGGACAGACTGCTTGCCTTTGGCTCTCTGCTTACCATCTTCCTATCTGAAAAGAAGGATACTTATGTTATCACCAGTCAAATCAGTCTAGACACTGTGTGATAAAAATATGCATATTCCTCTATCTGGGTACTCTGACTAGGCTATAAATATACCATACAAGCTTTCACATACTCCAACATAATCTACACAATGTTCTCAGTTTAGGGAAGCCTGTGAAATACAATTTAGAGTTGGGAATGCAATGATAGGTGGGTCGTTCCAAGAAATTAGTGCCTTTTGTGTCCCTTTTGATATCTTAAGTAGAAATTGTGCACAAATATTGCATTTTAAAAGCCTTTTATATTCAATGAGGTGCCCTTTTTAATATAGACCACATGGAAAATTCTATAAATCAGATTTTTTTTATATGAATAAAGACTTGCTAAAGTGCCAGAATTCTACATTTTGACATGTCCCTCTGTGCATCCTCTGTGACTTCTAGGAAGATTTTAACCCACTTAATTCCAACATTTATCGAAGTTTTCGCCATCATTGTAAAGCCATAGTTATTTTGTTGCTTTGACAAAGTAAGTTATTTATTTAATGTGATTAGTGGTTCATTTTAAGGAGAGAAAAAAAACTGTTACGTGAACTCTCATTTTAATATGGTGAAACTATTCCTTTTAAAATATTTTTTTTTAAAGAAACATTGAACATCTAATATTAAAATCATAGTATAAAAGCAGGATTAACTGGTTCTACTATTTTTGGCCATTTTCTGGTGTTTTGTGGTGGAAAACTGAGCGGGTCGGGCATAAAACGTCAATCCTGTTACCCATGTTTAACTTTTTTTTTTTTGCATTAATTTGTTCCTCCCTGTTGCATATTACAAGCTTCCATTCCCCCTGTCACAATAGGATTTATGGATGATTTAAAGGCCCTGTGCAGTCAAAAATGTGATTTTCCTGTGTTTTATATACATTTCCACACAGGGCCATGCACAGACCTTTTTGGGGGCATGTGTTCAAACAAAAAAACTTTTTTTTTTTCCCACAACCATGGGTCATAGACTCTTTGAGCAATTATTACAAGAAGAGGGGAAGGGAAAGCAGCACCATCTGATGAGTAAAGTATTTTACAAAACTATTTTGAACTGGGGGAATGCTGCATGTATTACCATTACATTATCCAACCCAACTCCATTTGTTGCCACTATCATGTATCCCAGTGGTTTTCTAACTTTTTTACCCATGACCCCAAAAAGGGAGTGGTACAAAACTTGCGACTTTAGAGGCCATCTGCCTGCAGAGTGCTCCTTGCCAGCCGGGCAGCTCTGTTCTTCCTCACAAATATTGTAATAGATTCGCCAGAATGTTACATCTCCATGCCATAATATTGAAGGCAGTGCGATGTTACAGCTTCTTATCTTTAGACATATAGCCAGTAGCCACCCAAACTAGGCCTATCTATCTGAAATATGAAAATGATCCATCAAATCGGCAGGTAGCCTATTGTTCTGGCATAAAGATGAGTCACTAGTAGATTGCTAAACTGTATTTTATATGGACGATAAACGTAGGTCTACTTTGTTTTTGCAAAACTGGAGGAAATTAAACAAGTTATTTCTGGTCACCAATCTTGATATGCGCGTCCGTCTTTGCGCGCCAGTGCTGATGACTGGTCATTGGTCAACAATCAAGACGCGCAACTTTTTGGTTCTGAAGCATAGATGAGAATTTAACGACCACTAGCAGGCAGTGGGTTCAGAACAACAATGACAAAATATATTTTGGGGGAAATTATACAACCACCGAAAAGGGCACTTTGGAGACTGGAAGGGCAAATGGGCATGTGCTCTGCACAGGTATGGGCTTCTCTGTGCATGTGCCTGTTTCCACACTATGAGGTTGGAATAATACTGTGTAATTGTGAAATGATGATAATGCCCTTTTAGTGTAAGAGCTGTTTGAAAAGACAGACTGACATTTCAGACTGTTTTGGTGGGATGGAGTTTTGGCCTGCCTGGTGACATCACCAGGCAGAAAGAGGGTTCCAAACCTCTCTGCCAATAACAGCTAGTTTTCAGTTTTCCCTCCCCACAGTCCACTCCCAGACAGTCCTAGCAAAATTCTTGCTTGAGAAATTGCTCTTTGCTAAGAAGCTATTTTTGTTTCTTTTTGACCATTTTAATTGAAAACAATCACAGAAAGGTACTTTATTGTTACCAATAAATTATTTGATATTGAGAGAAAAAACGGCTGAATTGGACCTTTTTAAGATGAAGTCGTCAACCCTGTTACTTTATTTTGCACTTAATAGGAAAAGTATTTTGTATTCAGACCCCTTGTCTTTTTCCACATTTTGTTTTGTTACAGCCTTATTCTAAAATTGATTAAATAAAACATTTTCCTCAGCAAACTTTTAAATAGCTTATTTACATAAGTATTCAGACCCTTTGTTATGAGACTCTAAATTGATTTCAGGTGCATCCTGTTTTCATTGATAATCCTTGATGTTTCTACAACTTGATTGGAGTCCACCTGTGGTAAATTCAATTGATTGGACATGATTTGGAAAGGCACACACCTGTCTATATAAAGGTCCCACAGTTGACAGTGCATGTCAGAGCAAAAACCAAGCCATGAGGACGTAGGAATTGTCTGTAGAGCTCCGAGACAGGATTGTGTCAAGACACAGATCTAGGGAAGGGTACCAAAACATTTCTGCAGCATTGAAGGTCCCCAAGAACACAGTGGCCTCCATCCTTCTTAAATGGAAGAAGTTTGGAACCACCAAGACTCTTCCTAGAGCCTGCTGCCTGGCCAAACTGAGAAATTGGGGGAGAAGGGCCTTGGTCAGGGAGGTGACCAAGAACCTGATGGTCACTCTGACAGAGCTCTAGAGTTCCTCTGTGGAGATGGGAGAACCTTCCAGAAGGACAATGATCTCTGCAACACTCCACCAATCAGGCCTTTATGGTAGAGTGGCCACTCCTCAGTAAAAGTTTGCCAAAAGGCACCTAAAGACTCTGACCATGAGAAACAAGATTCTCTGGTCTGATTAAACCTAAATTGAACTCTTTGGCCTGAATGCCAAGCGTCACGTCTGGAGGAAACCTGGCACCATCCCTATTGTGAAGCATGGTGTTGGCAGCATCATGCTGTGGGGATGTTTTTCAGTGGCAGGGACTTGGAGACTAGTCAGCATCGAGGCAAAGATGAACGGAGCAAAGTACAGAGAGATCCTTGATGAAAACCTGCTCCAGAGCGCTCAGGACCTCAGACTGGGGCAAAGGTTCACCTTCCAACAGGACAACGACCCTAATCACACAGCCAAGACAACGCAGGAGTGGCTTCGGGACAAGTCTCTGAATGTTCTTGAGTGGCCCAACCAGAGCCCGGACTTGAACCCGATCTAACATCTCTGGAGACACCTGAAAATAGCTGTGCAGCGACGCTCCCCATCCAAATTGACAGAAGAATGGGAGAAACTCCCCAAATACAGGTGTGCCAAGCTTGTAGTGTCATACCCAAGAAGACTTGAGGCTGTAATCGCTGCCAAAGGTGCTTCAACAAAGTACTGAGTAAAGGGTCTGAATATTTATGTAAATGTGATATTTCAGTTGTTTATTCTTAATAAATTTGCAAAAATGTCTAAACTAGTTTTTGCTTTGTCATTATGGGGTATTGTGTGTAGATTGAGGGGGGACAATTTAATCAATTTTAGAATAAGGCTGTAACGTAACAACATTTGGAAATAGTCAAGGGGTCTGAATACTTTCCGAATGCACTGTACTATAGTCATTTTTATACTTAAACCTCTTAAGATGGGAAAACATGTTTTATATTGTTTAACGTGCTCTTTATGACAGAATGTTAAAATTAGGTGAAATACATGCTTTCTTCCCACCAAGTTACATTACTCAAAAAGCACCGAATTGGTGTAACGACCACCCAGGCCTGTTTAAAATAAAAAAATAGGCCTAGATCTAAAAGGCACACTTTTTATAGTATCGTCCTTTGGGTTCCACAACTGAGACGTTTTTTCTGTATTGTCCTGCCAATGGCAGAATATTTCATCAAAGAAACACTGCTTTTCTGGCCATAGTGTTGCTTTCTCCATCTAGCCTACAGCAGTGGGCAACAGGGCATGGGGTAGAGAGAATGGGATGGGTTGTGATTGAATCACAGACATCAGAGATGTTCTTTCTGCAGACAGGCCTTATCAGGTTAGCTCTGTTTCGGAGCTGGGATCGGTAGGATATGTGGGAGGGGTAAATGATATTTTTGTTCACTTCAATAATTCATATTGCGTTGTGTCAAGTCACTCCGGTTCAAACTGACCGTGGCGTGTGCAGAAAGTAGCTCATCACAACGTTTTCCAACTGATCTGTCGATAGTGCCTGCTAAATTCAGGGCATCAATGTTGTTGAGGAAAGTTGCAAAACTTTTGTAGTTCTCGATGGCTAACGTTATATCTTTAATAAAAGCCATACTAGAAAGTATTTTTTAACTGAGGAAAAAGGCGTTCAAATACCTCTCCTGTGAAGTAGTGACGTGCTACATACGCCTAGCTTCCTGAAACGGGTCATATACAGTGGGGAGAACAAGTATTTGCAGGTTTTCCTACTTACAAAGCATGTAGAGGTCTGTAATTTTTATCATAGGTACACTTCAACTGTGAGAGGCGGAATCTAAAACAAAATCCAGAAAATCACATTGTATGATTTGTAAGTAATTAATTTGCATTTTATTGCATGACATAAGTATTTGATCACCTACCAACCAGTAAGAATTCCGGCTCTCACAGACCTGTTAGTTTATCTTTAAGAATCCTGTTCTCCACTCATTACCTGTATTAACTGCACCTGTTTGAACTCGTTACCTGTATAAAAGACACCTGTCCACACACTCAATCAAACAGACTCCAACCTCTCCACAATGGCCAAGACCAGAGAGCTGTGTAAGGACATCAGGGGAAAAATTGTAGACCTGCACAAGGCTGGGATGGGCTACAGGACAATAGGCAAGCAGCTTGGTGAGAAGGCAACAACTGTTGGCGCAATTATTAGAAAATGGAAGAAGTTCAAGATGACGGTCAATCACCCTCGGTCTGGGGCTCCATGCAAGATCTCACCTCGTGGGGCATCAATGATCATGAGGAAGGTGAGGGATCAGCCCAGAACTACACGGCAGGACCTGGTCAATGACCTGAAGAGAGCTGGGACCACAGTCTCAAAGAAAACCATTAGTAACACACTACGCCATCATGGATTAAAATCCTGCAGCGCATGCAAGGTCCCCCTGCTCAAGCCAGCGCATTTCCAGGCCCGTCTGAAGTTTGCCAATGACCATCTGGATGATCCAGAGGAGGAATGGGAGAAGGTCATGTGGTCTGATGAGACAAACATAGAGCTTTTTGGTCTAAACTCCACTCACCGTATTTGGAGGAAGAAGGATGAGTACAACCCCAAGAACACCATTCCAACCGTGAAGCATGGAGGTGGAAACATCATTCTTTGGGGATGCTTTTCTGCAAAGGGGACAGGACGACTGCACCGTATTGAGGGGAGGATGGATGGGGCCATGTATCGCGAGATCTTGGCCAACAACCTCCTTCCCTCAGTAAGAGCATTGAAGATGGGTCGTGGCTGGGTCTTCCAGCATGACAACGACCCGAAACACACAGCCAGGGCAACTAAGGAGTGGCTCCGTAAGAAGCATCTCAAGGTCCTGGACTGGCCTAGCCAGTCTCCAGACCTGAACCCAATAGAAAATCTTTGGAGGGAGCTGAAAGTCCGTATTGCCCAGCGACAGCCCCGAAACCTGAAGGATCTGGAGAAGGTCTGTATGGAGGAGTGAGCCAAAATCCCTGCTGCAGTGTGCGCAAACCTGGTCAAGACCTACAGGAAACGTATGATCTCTGTAATTGCAAACAAAGGTTTCTGTACCAAATATTAAGTTCTGCTTTTCTGATGTATCAAATACTTATGTCATGCAATGAAATGCAAATGAATTACTTAAAAATCATACAATGTGATTTTCTGGATTACAGACCTCTACATGCTTTGTAAGTAGGAAAACCTGCAAAATCGGCAGTGTATCAAATACTTGTTCTCCCCACTGTATATCTGTTTCAAAAAGTATAGACCAGTCGTGCCATGTAAAATGTAGTGTGACACAAATTGCAGTCTGTAGCCTAGCCTAAAACATTTTATCATGTTGTCTTTCTTCTGTATCAAATCAGGCCGTTCTGCCGAAGTTTTTACTTTTCCCCTAAAAATAAACATCCTAATCTCATGGAGATGAAATGGGTACACAGAGTTGATCTTTGTTTCCATCCTCTAATCACTGCCCTCTACTGTAGCCACAGTGCCCTCGCATTGGAAAGTTAATGTAGCCTTCGGTCTTTATATCCAATGATTTAGGTCAGGAAGAGGTAAACCACAGGGCTTATGACCACTGACCAACACATTTCCTGTTGGAAAGGCTACTTTTTCGATCTTCAAAGACCTTTCTGAAATCTTGGCTATAGATCTTGATGAGGGTCCTTATGTATCAGGCCAGGATCTATGGATTTTTTCCACAGAGGAATGTTTTTTAAACAAAATGTGCAATTGAAGTGTGTGTACAAGGCTCGCCTCAGATCTGTCAATGATGCACCCACCTAGAAACAAACCCTGTAGAATGAGGTCTGCTATGCTCTCCTCTCTCTCTCTCTCTCTCTCTCTCTCTCTCTCTGGAAAAAGCCTATTTAATATCATTGCTCGATGTGATCCCATATAAAAAATAAGCAAGGGATAAATAAAAGTAGTACACAACAACAGTACATTTAAAGACCAACACAGGACCCTACAGCCCACCTGCCAGCTACTCCTGGGCTCAAACTGATTGAGTAGTTACTGTACAGTATGTCATATGAATGGACCTGTGTTGCTAGGAGACATGGAATGATAAAATCAGACACTCTTTCATCCACAGTCTTTAGAATGAGTGAGGAGGCAGCTCAATATTTCTTATCAAGACCATTTGGGCCAGTGTGTAGATGTCATAGCCAGCTATTCATTAGGTATGCAAATGAGACACATCAAGGCTCCACCATGTGCAGCAGGAATAAAATCTCATTAGGTGGGGATTTTTCATGTAGTGAAATAAAACATTAATTCTAGAATGCTGTCAGCCGCTAATGAAATGGCTTTGTGGATGAGGAAATGGACAAATGTAGCCTAGCATTTTTTATGAAAGGAATAAAATAAGTTGATTACTCATCAATAACATTTCGCCAAACAGTAACCATTTGAAAATTGTCGTTATTACAGTATAATAGGCTACATTCCTTGTTGACCTTGCCTTAGCATAATATTCAAACTTCACCAGACGTTAGGCCTACACAAGTAAATGTGTCATTGGCATCCTTAATATCCTATTTTGATAAAATAGGTTATTTATTTATCAAAGGCTACCTTGAGAACATTTGTATTTATAGGGATCCCCATTAGCTGCTGCCAAGGCTACTCTTCCTGGGGTCCAAACACATTAAGGCACTTACATCACACACAAAACATAAAACAGTACATTAAATAACATTATAATACCACTACATACAGTGCATTCGGAAAGTATTCAGACCCCTTGATTAAGTTACAGCCTTATTCTAAAATGCATTAAATAAATTTTTTCCCTCATCAATCTACACACAATACCCCATAATGACAAAGCGTGACCATGTAGTGTCATACTCAAGAAGACTCAAGGCTGTAATCGCTGCCAAAGGTGCTTCAACAAAGTACTGAGTAAAGGGTCTGAATACTTATGTAAATAAGGTATTTATATTATTATTTTTTAATAAAATGCAAACATTTCTAAAAACCAGTTTTTGCTTTGTCATTATGGGGTATTGTGTGTAGATTGATGAGGGGGAAAAAACTATTTAATCCATTTTAGAATAAGGCTGTAACGTAACAAAATGTGGAAAAAGTGAAGGGGTCTGAATACTTTCCGAATGCACTGTACTGTATCTACAATACAAAATGTATAATACCACCATACAACAATATTACAATGTACGTGTGTGTGCTAGTAGTTGTGTGCGTATGCGTGTCTGTACCTGTGTGTGTGTGTGTCTCTTCACAGTACCCGCTGTTCCATAAGGTGTATTTTTATCTGTTTTTTAAATCAGATTCTACTGCTTGCATCAGTTACCTGATGTGGAATAGAGTTCCATGTAGTCATGGCTCTATGTAGTACTGTGCGCCTCCCAAAGTCTGTTCTGGATTTAGGGATTGTGAAGAGACCTCTGGTGACATGTCTTGTGGGGTATGCATGTGTGTCCGAGCTGTGTGCTAGTAGTTTAAACAGACAGCTCGGTGCATTCAGCTTGTCAACACTCCTCCACTTTGAGCAATGAGAGATTAACATGCATATTATTAATGTTAGCTCTCTGTGTACATTTAAGGGCCAGCCGTGCTGCCCTGTTCCCTCTTTGTGGCACCTGACCACACGACTGAACAGTAGTCCAGGGGTAACAAAACTAGGGCCTGTAGGACCTGCCTTGTTGATAGTGTTGTTAAGAAGGCAGAGCAGCACTTTATTATGGACAGACTTCTCCCCATCTTAGCTACTGTTGTATCAACATGTTTTGACCATGACAGTTTACAATCCAGGGTTACCCCAAGCAGTTTAGTCACATCAACTTGCTCAATTTCGAAATTTTTCATTACAAAATTGAGGTTTAGGGTTTAGTGAATGATTTGTCCCAAATGCAATGGTTTTAGTTTTTGAAATATTTAGGACTAATTTATTCCTTGCCACCCATTCTGAAACTAACTGCAGCTCTTTGTTAAGTGTTGCAGTCATTTCAGTCGCTGTAGTAGCTCACCTGTATAGTGTTGTTTACTCAAAGCCAGTGGCATGTCGTTAGTAAAGATTGAAAAAAGTAAGAGGCCTAGACAGCTGCCCTGGGGAATTCCTGATTCTACCTGGATTATGTTGGAGGCTTCTGTTAAAGAACACCCTCTGTGTTCTGTTAGACAGTGAACTCTTTATCCAAAATATAGCAGGGGGTGTAAAGGCATAACACATACGTTTTTTTCCAGCAGCAGACTATGATTGATAATGTCAAAAGCCACACTGAAGTCTAACAAAACAGCCCCCACAATCTTTTTATCATCAATTTATCTCAGCCAATCATCAGTAATTTGTGTAAGTGCTGTGCTTGTTGAATATCCTTCCCTATAAGCGTGCCGAAAGTCTGTTGTCAATTTGTTTACTGTAAAATAGCATTGTATCTGGTCAGACAATTTTTCCGAAAAGTTTACTAAGGGTTGATAACAGGCTGATTGGTTGGCTATTTGAGACAGTAAAGGGGGTTCAAGAACATGACTCATCATGACTAGTCCTATTTCACAAATGAAGTGTACTTCAAGCCTGTCCTATGGCACGCTCCTCTGGCCAGCTCAGCACTTGACATTTGTGTTGCGATTATGTAATATTTCATGGGGTCACTCCAAGGAGGCATCCGTCTGCCTGTTCCATGCCAATTACAGGAAGGACACGCATGCACACCAATATGCACACGCAGCAAATTATCTCACGTTTTTCACAAAATTGATTATAACGTTGCAGATACATTTTGGAATGACACAATTTCATGTATACAGATTTTAAAAGACATGCATCACGATACTGAGAGCTTTGCCCTTTGTAAAAGGACGTATTTGGGTGTTTTTGTTCATGTTTTTTGGACACCCTGGAACTGCGGAATGAGGCTCAGGAAGTCAATCACTGCTGGGATAAGTTTTTCAAAACCAAGTGAAATTGCAACAAAAATAAAAGTGTTTGGACCCTTCTATAACATGCCATTTACATCAAAAATACAGATTAGGTTCCTAAATAGTGTATCTCTCCTTTAATGTGTCCTCTGATAGTGACCTGATAAAAGGTGTCAATAATAGCTTTTGCCTCAGTCAGCTGCACACTTTGTCAGTCATCCGAGCACAGGAGGTTGGTGGCACCTTAAATGGGGAGGACGGGCTTGTGGTAATGGCTGTAGCGGAATAGGTGGAATGGTATCAAATACATCAAACACATGGTTTCCATGTGTTTGATGCCATTCCATTCTCTCCGTTCCAGTCATTATTATGAGCTGTCCTCCCCTCAGCAGCCTCCACTGCATCCGAGCATAGCTGATTGGCCTAATTGCAACAGTAAATACATTTATCCTGCACCGCACAGGGGTGATGAGGTGATGGTTTGGTGTTCCATAACCTCCAAGTAGCCTATGACCTTCATTACTGTACCTGTTGTAGAGACCAGTGGACCAGATTTACTACCTGTGTTTTCTGGATAGCTAGGCTTAGTGTTGAAAGCAGCTCATTAATGTCCCTAAAAACAGAGGCAACAATGAATCAGCTCAGCAATGGTCCAAATATTTTATGGAATGATTGACAAAGTTCAGAGGTAGCCTTCATGTTTGGCTTTATGGTAGACTATGATTTCCATAAGTGCAACACTCTATCAGCACAGTGAGCAATGTGCCCTTTTTTACAGTAGTTACTCACCTCCACTGAACTTGTCCCTGAAAGCTAGGCTCAGTCATCCAGCTGGGACCTGAGGCCAGGCAAAGTAGTGCTGAATCATCTGCTTGCCTTTTGTGGTGCCTCTGAGCCTACTAGCATGATGTCCTGTCCTTATAGGATCACTAGATCTTCCTTCCCAGCGCCCATCAGCCAGCCACCCAGCCTCTTTCTCTCTCTTGTCTTATTAATGGTCACGGGGAGGAGGAGTGGAGGTGTGTTACCCAACTACTGGCACGCCATGACGCCGTGTTGCAGTTAGATAGCTAGTGTACACTCTGGAATATGCAGGCACTGGCAGTAGAGACTAATTTTCAGAAGGCCCAAGACAAAGGAACATGTTGGCCTGATTTAAGGTGCCCTAAGATAGCGTTTAATATGTTTTCCTCTTAGGTGCAGCCAGCCGCTGTCTAGATCTAACATAGTGACTGAATGGGAGCACTGAAGGAAAGCAGATATGAGCTTTCCCAAAATAACCACTTGATTGAGTTCAAGTTCATCTCCACAACAAGGTTAAAATGCATCATAGCCAGTCTAGATGTCTGAGTAGCTGTGGTTATTCGGCTGGATCGCTCAGTGGTTCTCGGTAGTTTGGCCTGTATGATGATGTGTGTGTTGAATAGTTTTCTTGTACAGTGCCTTCGGAAAGTATTCACACCCCTTGACTTTTTCCACATTTTGTTAGGTTACAGCCTTATTCTTAAAATTGATTAAATAGTTTTTTTCCCTCGTCAATCTACACACAATATCCCATAATGACAAAGCAAAAACCTGAAATTGTTGCACATTTATAAATAAAATGTTCAGACCCTTTACTCAGTACTTTGTTGAAGCAGCGATTACAACCTCGAGTCTTCTTGGGTATGACACTATGATCTTGGCACACCTGTATTTGGGGAGTTTCTCCCATTCTTCTCTGTAGATCCTCTAAAACCCTGTCAGGTTGGATGGGGAGCGTTGTTGCACAGATATTTTCAGGTCTCAACAGAGATGTTCGATCGGGTTGAAGTCCGGGCTCTGGCTGGGCCACTCAAGGACATTCAGAGACTTGTCCCGAAGCCACTCCTGCGTTGTCTTGGCTGTGTGCTTAGGGTCGTTGTCCTGTTGGAAGGTGAACCTTCGCCCCAGTCTGAGGTCCTGAGCGCTCTGGATCCTGACTAATCTTCCAGTCCCTACCGCTGAAAAACATCCCCACAGCATGATGCTGCCACCACCATGCTTCACTGTAGGGATGGTGTCAGGTTTCCTCCAGACGTAACGCTTGGCATTCAAGCCAAAGACTTCAATCTTGGTTTCATCAGACCAGAGAATCTTGTTTCTCATGGTCTGAGAGTCTTTAGGTGCCTTTTGGCAAACTCCAAGCAGGCTGTCATGTGTCTTTTACTGAGGAGTGGCTTCCGTCTGGCCACTCTACCATAAAGGCCTGATTGGTGGAGTGCTGCAGAGATGGTTGTCCTTCTGGAAGGTTCTCCCATCTCCACAGAGGAACTCTGGAGCTCTGTCAGATTGACCATCGGCTTCTTGAACACCTCCCTGACCAAGGCCCTTCTCCCCCGATTGCTCAGTTTGGCCGGGCGGCCAGCTCTAGGAAGAGTCTTGGTGGTTCTAAACTTCTTCCATTTAAGAATGAAGGAGACCACTGTGTTCTTGGGGACCTTCAATGCTGCAGACATTTTTTGGTACCCTTCCACATATCTGTGCCTCGACACAATCCTGTCTCTGAGCTCTACGGACAATTCCTTCCACCTCATGGCTTGGTTTTTGCTCTGACATGCACTGTCAACTGTGGAACCTTATATAGACAGGTGTGTGTACCTTTCCAAATCATGTCCAATCAATTGAATTTACCCCAGGTTGACTCTAATCAAGTTGTAGAAACATCTCAAGGATGATCAATGGAAACAGGATGCACCTGAGTTCAATTTCGAGTCTCATAGCTAAGGTTATGAATACTTATGTAAATAAGGTATTCCTGTTTTGTATTTTTTATACATTTGCAAACATTTCTAAAAACCTGTTTTCACTTTGTCTTTATACGGTATTGTGTGTAGATTGCTGAGGATTTTTTTGTATTTAATCCATTTTAGAATAAGGCTGTAACATAACATGTGGAAAAAGTCAAGGGGTCTGAATACTTTCCGAAGGCACTATCTTTATTTTTCTTACTGTGGTTGTTTTGATGTGCACAGAGAGCAGACACATGGCAGGTGGTTGCTGAGTCACTCTATATGATGAGTCTGGTTGGGGCTGTGCTGCTAGCGATGCCTAGTCAGGCTCTGAACAGACCTTTTTTTCTAACATACTTTTCTTTCTCTAAGCGTCCGCTCCTCTCAAATGAAATTGTGGACAACTCATAATTTCTCCATTTCACCTATCATTCTTCAGAGAGCCAAGCAGTCACCATGCTCAAAGGACACATTACCTGCCATGAGTTCACCGCAGTGTAAATAAACCTGACACAGTATTCCTCCTGAAGTCTCATGTTGACAATCTACGTCCTACAAGATAGCATCACATTTACCATTTGGTGGTCACCTCAACTCAGCTGTCTGATCTGCCTAGTGGTCTATCTGACAACATAAACTGAGTGTACAAACCATTATGAACACCTGCTCTTTCATGACATAGACTGACCAGGTGAAAGCTATGATCCCTTATTGATGTCACTTGTTAAATGCACTTTAATCAGTGTAGATGAAGGGGAAGAGACAGGTTAAAGAAGGATTTTTAAGCCTTGAGACATGGATTGTGTATTTGTACCAATCAGAGGGTGAATGGGCAAGACAAAAGATTGAAGTGCCTTTGAACGGAGTATGGTAGTAGGTGCCAGGGTCACCGGTTTGTGTCAAGAACTGCAACGCTGCTGGGTTTTTCACGCTCTACAGTTTCCCGTGTGTATCAAGAATGGTCCACCACCCAAAGGACATCCAGCCAACTTGACACAACTATGGGAAGCATTGGAATCAACATGGGCCATTATCCCTGTGGAACGCTTTCGACACCTTGTAGAGTCCATGCCCTGATGAATTGAGGCTGTTCTGAGGGCAAACTCAATATTAGGAAGGTGTTCTTAATGTTTTGTACGCTGAGTGTATATTTTCACTTTCTGGTTCTCAAAGTTCCCTTATCAGCATTACCCGGAACAAGGCTCTGTTTGGACTTTAAGCGCGATGCTAATGGAAAATTTATAGAACACGTTTCAGAATATAAACTAGGCAAACTGATACAGCTCTTTGGAACCTGATTTGAAGGCTTACTGTGTATTATTCAAAGTGTTGTAGCATGGCACCCGTGGCTTCCCGGCAGCTCACACAGATCCTGCCCCAGAAACACACACACACACACGTCATGTGCGCACACACACAAGCACATACACACGCACACACAGACAACACACGTCACACACATGTATTAAACTGTGACTTGTGTATTCACGGCAGTTCCCAATTAAATCATGCATGATGTTTAAGTTAAGCAAGAAGCAAATTACTTAAAAGGCCGTTGGCACTCTCTCGTCTGGCAAGTTTGTCAGAAATGTACTCACTGCTCCAGCGAAGACAGATTGGCCGTTACAGCACTGCAGTACAAAACAAAAATCACTCGAATTTGTACCTGTAGGTTTGTGAGGGCTTTTGTATAATAGCTACAATTGCTTGTTGATGAGGTAGAATGGGGACATCCATCATTCCAAGGTCAAGCACCAAAACGTTTTACAGTAGCTAGTTGTTCCTAATAGAGTGCTTCAGTCAGTAGCTCATTTTGGACCCTTAAGCTAGAATGACCTGAGTATTTTACTATGGTACATATGGTCCCCATGCATGTCAGTATCATCATCCACACACCAAGAAATGAGGCTATACACACACATTGTATTATTGTACACACAAATGGCACTATAGCACACCATTGCAATATGTGCACTGTGAGATAGCCTAACCCATTTTTTACTGCTGTGTATTAGGCTAAAGCTGTTCTATGATGTTTCTGGGGATTACTTTTATGTCATTGTTGTGTGCCACTCTGTGGCTGCATCCATTCACAGTGACTGTGTCTGTGTTTCGTTATTCAAAATACATTTTTCAATTTTACAGCCACTTTGGCAAATGGTAGTGCATTAGTTAGACTAGGCACTGTAGTGATTGTAGAAGTACACAAACACAATTATCACAGCCTATAAGTGGAATTGTAATGTTGGTTGGTGTCTTTTTGCACGTAGCCTACTTTGAGAAGGCTGCTTTTTCAGGCGATCCATAATTGATATGTTGGATTCACGTCTCCATCTCAACCAAAAATCTAAGTTATAGAATAGGACTAAATCAAATAAAGATTTTGTTTGTAGACAAACCTGAATTAAAGCCAGACTAAGTCAGTGACACAGATGGTACTATCCAAACAGAATATAAATCTCCTTAAAATGTTTATATTTGGTTGTGTTGACAACCAAAGACAATTCAATGTCACTTTTGAAATACAATAACTAGCATATTAACTTGTCGACAAATTAACAAATTATATGTTGGATCAAAATCAACCAGGGCTTGAAACCCTAGGCCTATTTAGTTGAATTCTGCGTTTAGTAATTTTTTTATTCTGGGTTTAGTCTATTTTTTGTTGAATTCAAACAATTGCTGTTGATGACTTTGCAAATGCTACAAAGGCCTAAATAGCATCATTGATGATTGATAAAGTATGGTCACGTTTCATTTGCTCTGTTAAACCTACTCTTTAGAATGACTTCAATAGCAACAGTGAATCTATGTAGTTTTTAAGTGGAGCTCTCGCAATCCTTCTCACGATAGCACGTTGGTAATAGTCAGTGACAAATATCATAGCTAAGCAGGTCTGGGCTTGGTTGAGACCAAAAGGTAGCTGTAGATAGATAAATTATCCAGTAGGAGGTGCTGCCCAGTATAGTTTTTTTTCTGATAGTGGATATAACTTTGAAAATCAGACGTTTTGTTAAAGGTAGAAATTCTACATATTTTATACAAGGTTTGTCGATGTAGAAATTTGGTTTTCTTGATGACATAATTCTGTGGTTTAAATTTGACCCTCAAAACAACAGTTTACATTGATGCATTTTTTCAAATCTAATGTATTTTCCGCGTAGATTCCACGTCACAATACGTTGACAAATGATGTTGAAACAACATTGATTCCACCAGTTTTTGCACAGTGGGCTGCTACTCTAAAGGCTAAAGAGCCTGATAGAACGTATTGACACCTATCCTATTGATGTGATGTAGGAGATGTCTATAATTCCATGCCTGTGTGGAAATGCCTCCATAGCTTATCCCCTTTGAATCACTAGGTTAAATCTGTTGCCTTCATCCAGTGTTGTTTGATTTGATCCTGCAATTTTGTTCAACATTTATAGCCTACTTTGTTCTCTGAAGAGTGATGGATGGCTTCCTTCCTGGTCATTTCCAAAGGTTTTTGGCAGAACTCACTGAGCAAGAAAATGGAAAAAAAAAAGGTTCACTGTATAACAACAACAACAACAAATCGTCCATGAGATCATAATTCTCTCTTAGTCAATTTGAAGAGCAGGCTATTTTCCACAGTACTCTAGGTGTTGCAATGATCGTCAAATATTTCAGTGCAGTCTTAATTCATGTTTGACATGTTGTTGTTGTTGTTGTTTCTTTTTCGATAGACTGGCCTTCGTTGGATCCCACCATGTTGGAAGAGTTTCGGGAAGACGTATCAAGCTGGACTGAATCACCCTCAGCCTTATTAGTTTCACACACTGAGGCCTCTGAGCACCTAGACGACACTACAACTACAGCTCTCCTTTCACCTGGTCCCCTACCACTTGAGTCACCTTCTAGGTCTAGTGACCCCCTCCCAATTGGTCCAGACCCTCTGTCCACTCCCCCTTTTAGCTCTTCGGAGCCTGTGATTGGCCTTCAGCAACAACCTGAAGGCCCTGCCCGACTCTCAAGGGACATGAAGCTCTCTGGGCCTATCTCAACCATGGCAGCTACCTCTTCAACCTTTGTTACAGTACCAAACCAGAAGCTTCTCGGACCACAGTCCAACACATCCACAACACCCTTGAACTTCTCTACAGCCACCAGTGGGACTACATCTCCACAGTTCATTGTCCCAAACTCTAATGAAAGAGCTTCAGATGAACCTCCATTATTACTCCCCAGCAACCAGCAAGATCCATCAAAACAGACAACTCCTGCACTTATGACATCACTTCCTGTTGGACCCCTCGACCTGCCTAGACTGCCTGTTGACAATCTTGTAGATGTAGCAGCCCCATCAGACCAAGCCAGCCCAGAGTCTAGACCTAATCCAGACGTGTCCCAGAGTTTAGGAGATCTCTCGCTGGATCCCAAACTGCCACTTGAGCCCTCCAGTAGATTAATCGATCTGGATCACCTGCGCCCCAACAGTGAGCTCATGCAGAAGGACGATGCTGCCCAAGGTATCCACATGCTCCTGAAACTATCGCCTGAAATGCAGCTGGCTCCCAGCTATGTGCCTTTTCTGAACCCTCAGACCACGTCCTCCTCGGCCGAGCCCACCATGGTCCCTACTGAGGACTTCTTCCCCACCAACACCATGGCGGTGGACTGGGGCTCCGGAGACTACCTGGAGACCATGACCTTTATGGGCTCGGAGGGCGACGACTTCTCCCTGGTCACCAACCTGCCCACGGACATGTACGACCTGGAGGACTCCAACGCGGAAAGCTACGACACCTCCTTCCCCTCCCGGGTCGGCGTGTCCTTCTCCTCGATGCGTCACGTGACGTCTTCACTTAGTCTCACTACAACAGATTACAGCTCTGGTGTTAGAAGTGTGGCCGCCACATCTGTTCCTCCCTCTATCCATCCATCTCCCAGTCACCCCATGCTAGCCTCAACACCAACACCAACACCTCAAGGTAGTCTACCAGAAGGTTCAGATGTAGACTGGACAGATACCTTCACCGTTGAACCAACAGACCTTCTCCTACCAGACATGAACAGCCTGGAGTACTACACCATCCAGCTGACCAACGATGACTCAGAAGAACACAGAGGCACTAACGTGACCACCACCTCCAGACGTTTCTCCCTGATGTCCATCAGCACCAACCACATCATGGCCACCAGCGCCTTCACTGTGGACCCCAGCCACATTCTCACAGCCTCTTATGGAGTGGATGGAGTGGAGGTCCAGCCTTCTGACAACACTACCTGGATCGAAGAGTCCTCTGATATATCTGGCTCAGAGCCTCTCAATACAACCACAGCAGACGGCATGGAGATGACTTCTCTGAATTTCTCAGTGCCGTTCCTGGAGCCTTCAGTAGCACCAACCCCCTCCATGGACCTCACATCCTCCCTGTGGGGTGTCACTGGTCAGGTGTCCTCCGGGGAATGGACGAGCCCTGTGGCCACCTCCAGTGTCGGACTGGACAGCAGCTCTGTCTTAGTGTCTGTGCAGCCTAGTGCTATGGCCTCTGAGACAGACATCCAGTGGTTTGTGTCCCCCACCGCCACAGAGACGGCCCTCAGCACCGCTCCCGTCACTCCTGTGTTGACCACCTCTGTCGCATTCACCCCAGTGCCTGGTCAGACAGAATTACCCCCCAATGTCACCTCAGGCCCCACAGAACCATCCACCAATGCCACCACCTTCCCCCCGGTGTCAGTCATGGCTGACCAAGGCATTGATACGGATAGTCCTGTCACAGCGGTGACCAACGACAGTCAGACTACAGTTAGCACCCTAGACACCCCCTCCACAACTGATCCTGCCACCACCACCACTACTACTACTACTACTACTACCACCATCACCACTGAGGCCTCTACAACCGCTGCTCTGGCCACCACCACCCCCTTAAACATAACAACCACGAAGAGCCCGCCTACAACCATTGGCCGCCAGTACCTCTGTAACGTCACCAAGCCTGTGTACTTTGTTAAAGTCGGTAAGTTGAATTACCTCTTTGTCATATTGATATACTTTTTTAATGACAGCAACATTGTGTGGAATGTCAACTTGATCAATGTTACTAATAGTCCCGTGTAGCTCAGTTGGTAGAGCATGGCGTTTGCAACGCCAGGGTTGTGGGTTCGATTCCCACGGGGGGCCAGTATAAAAATAATACAATAATAATAATACTAATAATGTATGCACTAACTAACTGTAAGTCGCTCTGGATAAGAGCGTCTGCTAAAATGACTAAAATGTACTAATTTACAACTCTGAAGTGTTATTCTTTAATTTTTCATATGAAAATCATGGTTTGTGATTTAATGTTTTGATAATATTGTACACTTAATTAATCTATAACAGAATGTTCTCAATGAGACATGATCGAGATGAGATGTGCTCCCTATGTGTGCTTCCACCCTCTGCAGGTTTTCCCCCTGGGGCCACTGTTGGATATGCCAAATCCCAAGTCCGAGATGTCCTGAAGACTGAATTCAATAAATCAATTGAATTGCAGGTACATTATGATGGGGCACCATGGGCACCTTTTATTGGGATTTTAAACTTCACTTAATGAAATGGATAGAAGTAACAGTGAACTGAAAAAGCAGCCTTTGTCTTTAGTCTTTACAGTGATAAAGTTAAGCTAGGCTATACATAAAAGCTAACATATGGAATTGTTTTAAGATGGTCATACCAAGGATTATTTAGCTATTTGATTTTGAATTTCTTTATTAAAACATTATTGGGTGAAACATTGAATTTGGCATTACTGCTATAAGCCAATAGAAACGCATTGAATAACAGATTCACTACATGGAACAACAGATAGTCCCCCCAAAAATCTAAAGTAAGTTTGTTCTGAAGTGTCTGTCCTATATCTGAGAGATATAAGAAAGATCAGGAAACATTTTTTAAAAACATTTATCCCCTTATTTTAGGCACTAAACTATCTCCATATATACTTCCATTCATTTTTTAAACTGGTACCGGGGACCTTCAGACGAGTCTTGTGGGCGGAGAACACCATCGTGTTCATGAGTCTCATCTTTCAATAGAGTGGTCATAATAGTTTGTAGGTCAAACCGTTCGGACGCTACAAATGATTTTGTGAGAAGACCGATTTTCGGGATGTCTCATGGTCTGACAAACACCGCTCTAGCTCTGCCACCTTTCACCGCAGATGCGGAAGGGCGATATCGGCGGATGCGGTAGATTTGAGACACAGCCCATGCAAAAAAACATATCTCTAGCTTAAACAGACAGATTTTGATGGGGATGTTTTTTATTATGTTAATTAGATTTCTGCAGGGGCGCAATCATTGTAGGCTAAGGGTTAATCAAGTGGGACACTCTTAGAAAAAAAGGTGCCATCTAGAACCTTTAAAGGGTACTTCGGCTGTCCCCATAGGAAAACCCTTTGAATAACCTTTGTTGGTTGCGGGTAGAACCCTTTTGGTTCCATGTAGAACCCTCGGTAGAAAGGGTTCTACCTGGAACCAAAAGGGGTTCTACCTGGAACCAAAAATGTTCTCCTATGGGGACAGCTGAAGAACCCTTTTGGAACCCTTTTCTCTAAGAGTGTAGGGAGCTGCAGCGGTGGGTAAGAGGCTGTTGTGTTCTATAATAATCCTGGTGGTGTGTGTGGGGGTATAGGGATGGGATGCGCCAGGAAGGACAGCCCACTTCCTGTTAGCTTTTTTCTCTCCAGGCTCTTTGATAAACAAACCACAAGAATGACTAACTGCACACGCAACACTTCATGGCCCGGCAGTGACCTTAAAACACTGTCTCTACCGTTAACTGTTTAAATGCTGTACAGTGCAAAGGAAAAAAGTAGTGTGTGTACAGTACCTCGTAGTTCAACCAAGGTGCAAGAACTCTGGAACAAACTGGATATATTCAGCTGCATTTGGAGGATGGTAGAAGTTGAAAGTAAGACAAAAAGACAGTTGAATTGAAAGACTTCAAATACAGCCCATCTAAACTCCATCATTAAAAGTGAATAAATAACTATTATTTGCCATGAAGAGAAGTTCTAATTATGTATTTTCTGTGTCTTGGTAAAGGTTGCTAAGAGCCCTCCAGACTTTGTGTTCCGGGCAGTGTCGGGTCCCTTGGTGTACACAGCCATATCTGTCATCAACGCCCTGCGCAAGTCAGGCCGACGCTTCCAGCCCATCTCACACTACTGGAAGGTACCAGACCACCAGTACCAAGTCCACTCAGGTAAGAGCACTGTTTTGTGTCGAACAATACAAGCCACTTTTATTTTAATAGTGCGTACCCAGTATGCTGGTTTCTGTTTAGGTTTTCTGCACTGTACAGTATGTGTCTGAATGTTTAGACTTATCCCTGCCCTTCTGTTTCCCTGACCAGTGCTGCAGTTTGTGCCCAGCCACATCGACGTGCGAGTCTGCAACTTCAGCGAGCGCATTGAGAAAGGCCTGACCATGGCGTACGCCGAAGTGCGCCGACGCGCGCAGGAGTCCACGAACTTCACTGTGCACGTAAGTGGAGACCTACTGAAAACACTGTAGCACTCCAGTCAACTAAAATAGAGTAGAGCTTCTTCTAATGCTCTGTTTTCATTACCAGTCACTTACTCCTTCCTGGGTTTTATAATATAATAATATAATATGCCATTTAGCAGACGCTTTTATCCAAAGCGACTTACAGTCGTGCGTGCATACATTTTTGTGTATGGGTGGTCCCGGGGATCGAACCCACTACCTTGGCGTTACAAGCGCCGTGCTCTACCAGCTGAGCTACAGAGGACCACCGTTTTCACCCCCAGAGTTCAACGACTTGGCAATGATAATTTGGAATCACCCCTGATCGCAACCCATTTATGTCAGAAGCACTTAGCTCACACATTTATTATTACTAAAGACCACTGGCCGTGTAGCTGTGCTCTCCCTGCTAGAACTCTCTAAGAGCAGCATCTGCTAAAATAAGTCTGGAAGTGGAACGAAAAAGAAAGAAAAGCTCTCCAAGAGAGTCGGTCGGCTGAGGCCAGGAAACTTAGAAACTAATTGGGTTACTGTGTGCGAATGCAGCAGCAGTAGTGGCTTGCTTTGCTTGGATTTGGGAGAGTAAGAGAGGCAGGATCTGCTTGACTTAATTGTAATTGTTGAGGCTTGGGGAGCGACAGGGAGTAATGGCTGAAATGTGTGGTTTGTGTGAATGTGTGTGCTGCAGTAATACAACCTAAGTGCTGGTCTCAGAGACTCCAGCTCACAAGTCTGTTTAGATCAGTGGTCACTCATTCAAGACCAAAATTATCAGCATAGGTTTATTGATTCAGGTTCTTGCAGAGGTTGCCCACTAATTAAGTAATTCAGTTGAGAAAGTGCTTATTTGGCTGTTCATGTTTGACGTTCTTGAACATAGCAAGCCAAAAGGATATGGAGAGTGTTCAGACATAGATTTCATACTCCGTTAATGAAGGGATTATACTGGGCATTAAATTCATATCTGGAAAATGCCCTTTTAATTATGGCTGTTCATTTTATTTTCAATTCCCTTCCTATTTCAATTCCGGAAATGAAATGAAATCAATCTGGGCCAAGCTCTCCTGCTGCATCACACTGCCATGTATGCTCACATGTGGTTTTATTGATGACAGGGTTTGTTGTGCAGTCTCTTTTGACCATTTACTGAACTTTTGATATCCATCACCAGCTCAAAGACATTGTGGGCTCTATTTTCAGCTGGCGGTAAGAAGGCGCAAGTGTCAAACACACGTCAGTTTGCAATTTCGTCATGTAAAAACTGTTGCACTGGCATTTTCCAGCCCGTACGCCAGGTTCGGCAATTTACCTGTCTAACATCAGCTCGCTTGCTCTGAGGTGGGAGGGGTGGAAATATTGGAGGTGTGTCCTTTAAAACGTACGCCAATATGCCAATTTCAGTAAGTGCAACTAAGGATATTTAAGACTGACCAAAAGCTGGTCTTAGCGGTAACGCAATTGGTTATGTCATTGATTTTGCCAGCGGAGGCGTACACAGTAGCATTATGTACATACATTTACATTACATTACAGTCATTTAGCAGACGCTCTTATCCAGAGCGACTTACAGTTAGTGCATACATTATTATTTTTCATACCCCCTGTGGGAATCGAACCCACAACCCTGGCGTTGCAAACGCCATGCTCTATCAACTGAGCTACATCCCTGCCGGCCATTCCCTCCCCTACCCTGGACGACGCTGGGCCAATTGCACGCCGCCCCATGGGTCTCCCGGTCGCGGCCGGCTACGACAGAGCCTGGATTCGAACCAGGATCTCTAGTGGCACAGCTAGCACTGCGATGCAGTGCCTTAGACCACTGCGCCACTCGGGAGACATACATCACCAATGTTTTATTAAAATATCACGAGCAGCAAAACAATCAAGACGTTCCCCTTTTTTATTTATATTGGACATCTTTGTGCAGCTTCTGTGAAACATTTGGACTTATTATGTGCGATGCCCATTGCATGAAAGGTTTCAGTGTCTGTAGGAAGCCTGTTTAAGAACATCAAGTTATTTAAAAAGACTGCTTATTGTTTTTCGTTTATCATTTAGTCCAGAAATGTGTCTTCCACTTTTCTCTGTTGGACCTACAGTGAGGGAAACAAGTATTTGATCCCCTGCTGATTTTGTATGTTTGCCCACTGACAAAGAAATGATCAGTCTATAATTTTAATGGTAGGTTTATTTGAACAGTGAGAGACAGAATAACAACAAAAAAATCCTGAAAAACGCATGTCAAAAATGTTATAAATTGATTTGCATTTTAATGAGGAAAATAAGTATTTGACCCCTCTGCAAAACATGACTTAGTACTTGGTGGCAAAACCCTTGTTGGCAATCACAGAGGTCAGATGTTTCTTGTAGTTGGACACCAGGTTTGCACACATCTCAGGAGGGATTTTATCCCACTCCTCTTTGCAGATCTTCTCCAAGTCATTAAGGTTTCGAGGCTGACGTTTGGCAACTTGAACCTTCAGCTCCCTCCACAGATTTTCTATGGGATTAAGGTCTGGAGACTGGCTAGGCCACTCCAGGACCTTAATATGCTCTTCTTGAGCCACTCCTTTGTTGCCTTGGCCATGTGTTTTGGGTCATTGTCATGCTGGAATACCCATCCACGACCCATTTTCAATGTCCTGGCTGAGGGAAGGAGGTTCTCACCCAAGATTTGACGGTACATGGCCCCGTCCATCATCCCTTTGATGCGGTGAAGTTGTCCTGTCCCCTTAGCAGAAAAACACCCCCAAAGCATAATGTTTCCACCTCCATTTTTGACGGTGGGGATGGTGTTCTTGGGGTTATAGGCAGCATTCCTCCTCCTCCAAACACCGCGAGTTGAGTTGATGCCAAAGAGCTCCATTTTGGTCTCATCTGACCACAACACTTTCAACCAGTTCTCCTCTGAATCATTCAGATGTTCATTGGCAAACTTCAGACGGGCCTGTATATGTGCTTTCTTGAGCAGGGGGACCTTGCGGGCGCTGCAGGATTTTAGTCCTTCACGGCGTAGTGTGTTACCATTTGTTTTCTTGGTGACTATGGTCCCAGCTGCCTTGAGATCATTGACAAGATCCTCCCGTGTAGTTCTGGGCTGATTCCTCACCGTTCTGATGATCATTGCAACTCCACGAGGTGAGATCTTGCATGGAGCCCCAGGCCGAGGGAGATTGACAGTTATTTTGTGTTTCTTCCATTTGTGAATAATCGCACCAACTGTTGTCACCTTCTTACCAAGCTGCTTGCCGATGGTCTTGTAGCCCATTCCAGCCTTGTGTAGGTCTACAATCTTGTCCCTGACGTCCTTGGAGAGCTCTTTGGTCTTGGCCATGGTGGAGAGTTTGGAATCTGATTGATTGCTTCTGTGGACAGGTGTATTTTATACAGGTAACAAACTGAGATTAGGAGCACTCCCTTTAAGAGTATGCTCCTAATCTCAGCTCATTACCTGTATAAAAGACACCTGGGAGCCAGAAATCTTTCTGATTGAGAGGGGGTCAAATACTTATTTCCCTCATTAAAATGCAAATCAATTTATAAAGTTTTGACATGTGTTTTTCTGGATTTTGTTGTTGTTATTCTGTATCTCACTGTTCAAATAAACCTACCATTAAAATTATAGACTGATCATTTCTTTGTCAGTGGGCAAACGTACAAAATCAGCACGGGATCAAATACTTTTTTCCCTCACTGTAACTGTCATATCGCGGGAATTCAGATCGCTGTCCGTTGCACTGAATCCGCTTGTTTGTTTGTTTACCTTTCAAAGTCACTACTGGCCATATCAACGGCGATGGTAGGCTATAGCTATATATATATTTTGGAGCAGTAACGGTGAGTGTACATTCCCCTAGCGGTTTGAGCGTTGAAATTGCTTTAGAAAGGGGCACAAGGCAGGGATGTCCTCTCTCTCCCATTCTGTTTGCACTGTCAATTGAACCGCTTGCAGAAACAATTAGACAGGACCCAAACGTAACAAGGTATCAGTATTGGTAAACATGAATATAAACTAAACTTATTTGCAGATGATCTCCTGATATACTTGACCAATATTGAAAACAAAATGTCCCCCTTGCAAAAAATATGTTCAGAATACTCTAAAATCTCAGGATATAAAATTAATGTGGGAAAAAAATGAAATAATGGCAATAGGAAAAATAAAAAAAATTACTCATGATCTACAGCAATCCTTTAAGTGGACCACAAAAAAATATAAAATACTTAGGATGCTTAATAAGTGACAACACATATATAAAGATGTATATTTATCCCATTACTTAACAATATGAAAGCAGATCTAATTAAATAGAACAATCTTCCCATAAATCTTACAGGTAGAATAAACCTCTTCAGAATGACATGGCTCCCAAGGTTTTCCATTTATTCTCGATAATACCAGTTACCCCACTGAAGAAGTTCTTTAAAAAAGTATACTCGCTCATTAGACTTTATATGGGCAAATAAAAAAAACATCTCCCTAAGTCTGAGGGTGGTTTTAACCTTCCAGACTTGGAATTGTATCAACTCGCTTTTACTTGCAACATATAGTTAAATGCACTAAAGAGGACCAATGGGTACATATTGAAGATGCACACGCTCATCCCCAGAATATTTTGAGGTGTCTATTTTCAAAGGATAAAGCTAAGAACATGAACAACTTCATAGTTAAGAACACTATAACAATATGGGAGAAAATGAAACGTATTCTACAAGAACCAATATCACTCCCTAAAAACACAACCCTATGGAACAATCCTTTGATAGCTTTTCAGAATTCACTGATCTAAATTGTCCCACATGGAAACCTATAGGCATAGAAACCATAAATGACCTGGTAATAGGAAATAAATGTATGTCCATGACAGAATTAAAAAGCAATTTTGGACTGACCAATGTAGATTTTTTTCAAATACATGCAACTTAAGTTTTGATTTGAAATCTTTTAGATATCAAAGCAATCTTGAGGGAATCCTATTTGCGTCAGAAAAGGATATTCATATGATAGGTAAGATATACAAAACCTTGCAGAGAGACTATCCAACTGACAATCTCATAGAAAAAAAATATAAACTATTGGAAGTAAGACTTAAAAATAATTGATATTGACACAAGATAGTGGGAATGTTGGAACATACACTATGCTGTACAGTGCATTCAGAAAGTATTCAGACCCCTTGACCTTTTCCACATTTTTGTTACGTTACAGCCTTATTCTAAAATGGAATAAGGCTGCTCCAGAGCGTTTAGGACCTCAGACTGGGGCAAAGGTTCACCTTCCAACAGGACAACGACCCTAAGCACACAGCCAAGACAACACAGGAGTGGCTTCGGGGCAAGTCTCTGAATGTCCTTGAGTGGCCCAGCCAGAGCCCGGACTTGAACCCAATCGAACATCTCTGGAGAGACCTGAAAATAGCTGTGCAGCGACGCTCCCCGTCCAGCCTGACAGAGCTTGAGAGGATCTGCAGAGAAGAATGGGAGAAACTACCCAAATACAGGTGTGCCAAGTTTGTAGCGTCATACCCAAGAAGACTTGAGGCTGTAATTGATGCCAAAGGTGCTTCAACAAAGTACTGAGTAAAGGGTCTGAATACTTATGTAAATGTGATATTGCAGTTTTTTTTTTTTTTATAAATTTGCAAACATTTCTAAGAACCTGTTTTTGCTTTGTCATTATAGAAAAACAATTTAATCCATTTTAGAATAAGGCTGTAACGCAACAAAATGTGGAAAAAGTAAAGGGGTCTGAATACTTTCCGAATGCACTGTATATACAAAAGTATGTAGACATCTCTTCAAATTAGTGGATTCAGCTATTTCAGCCACACCCATTGCTGACAGGTGTATAAAATCGAGCACACAGCCATGCAATCTCCATAGACAAATATTGGCAGTAGAATGGCCTTACTGAAGAGCTCAGTGACTTTCAACGTGGCACCGTCATAGGATGCCACCTTTCCAACAAGTCAGTAGGTAACATTTCTGCCCTGCTAGAGCTTCCCCGGTCAACTGTAAGTGCTGTTAATGTGAAGTGGAAACGTCTAGGATCAACAACGGCTCAGCCGCGAAGCGGTAGGCCACACAAGCTCACCGATTGGGATCGCCGAGTGCTGAAGCGCGTAGTGTATAAAAATCGTCTGTCCTCGGTTGCAACACTCACTACCGACTTCCAAACTGCTGGAAGCAACGTCAGCACAGGAACTGTTCGTCAGGAGATTCATGAAATGGGTTTCCATGGCTGTGCAGCTGCACACAAGCCTAAGATCACCATGTGCAATGCCAAGCGTCGGCTGGAGTGGTGTAAAGCTCCCGCCATTGGACTCTGGAGCAGTGGAAACGCGTTCTCTGGAGTGATGAATCACGCTTCACCATCTGGCAGTCTGACGGACGAATCTGGGTTTGGCAGATGCCAGGAGAACGCTACCTACCCGAATGCATAGTGCCAACTTGACTGGCCTGCACAGATCCCTGACCTCAACCCCATCAAACACCTTTGGGATTAATTGGAATGACTGCAAGTGAGGCCTAATCGCCCAACATCAGTGCCCGACCTCACTAATGCTCTTGTGGCTGAAATGGGGCAAGTCCCCGCAACATTGTTCCAACATCTAGTGGAAAGCCTTCCCAGAAGAGTGGAGGCTGTTATAGCAGTAAAGGGGGGACCAACTCCATATTAATGTCCATGGTTTTGGAATGAGATGTTCATTTTACATTTACATTTTAGTCATTTAGCAGACGCTCTTAACCAGAGCGACTTACAGGAGCAATTAGGGTTAAGTGCCTTGCTCAAGGGCACATTAACGTCATTTAGCAGACGCTCTTAGCCAGAGCGACTCACAAATTGGTGCGTTCACCCTATAGCCAGTGGGATAACCACTTTACAATTTGGGGGGGGGGGGGGGGGGGGTTAGAAGGAATACTTTAGCCTATCCCAGGTATTCCTTAAAGAGGTGGGGTTTCAAATGTCTCCGGAAGGTGGTGAGTGACTCCGCTGTCCTGGCGTCGTGAGGGAGCTTGTTCCACCATTGGGGTGCCAGAGCAGCGAACAGTTTTGACTGGGCTGAGCGGGAGCTGTGCTTCCGCAGAGGAAGGGGAGCCAGCAGGCCAGAGGTGGATGAACGCAATGTCCTCGTTTGGGTGTAGGGACTGATCAGAGCCTGAAGGTACAGGGGTGCCGTTCCCCTCACTGCTCCAAAGGCAAGCACCATGGTCTTGTAGCGGATGCGAGCTTCAATTGGAAGCCAGTGGAGTGTGCGGAGGAGGGGGGTGACGTGAGAGAACTTGGGAAGGTTGAACACCAGACGGGCTGCGGCATTCTGGATGAGTTGTAGGGGTTTAATGGCACAGGCAGGGAGCCCAGCCAACAGCGAGTTGCAGTAGTCCAGACGGGAGATGACAAGTGCCTGGACCAGGACCTGCGCCGCTTCCTGTGTAAGGCAGGGTCGCACTCTCCGAATGTTGTAGAGCATGAACCTGCAGGAGCGGGTCACCGCCTTGATGTTGGCGGAGAACGACAGGGTGTTGTCCAGGGTCACGCCTAGGCTCTTCGCACTCTGGGAGGAGGACACAGCGGAGTTGTCTACCGTGATGGCGAGATCATGGAACGGGCAGTCCTTCCCCGGGAGGAAGAGCAGCTCCGTCTTGCCAGGGTTCAGCTTGAGGTGGTGATCCGTCATCCATACTGATATGTCTGCCAGACATGCAGAGATGCGATTCGCCACCTGGTTATCAGAAGGGGGAAAGGAGAAGATTAGTTGTGTATCGTCAGCGTAGCAATGATAGGAAAGGCCATGTGAGGATATGACAGAGCCAAGTGACTTGGTGTATAGGGAGAAAAGGAGAGGGCCCAAAACCGATCCCTGGGGGACACCAGTGGTGAGAGCACGTGGTGCGGAGACAGCTTCCCGCCACGCCACTTGGTAGGAGCGACCGGTCAGGTAGGACGCAATCCAGGAGTGAGCCGCGCCGGAGATGCCCATTTCGGAGAGGGTGGAGAGGAGGATCTGATGGTTCACAGTATCAAAGGCAGCAGACAGGTCTAGAAGGACAAGAGCAGACAAGCAGGTGTCCACATACTTTTGGTCATGTAGTGTAACTAACAAAATTACAGTTAACAAAAAATTTACGCTTAATCCAGTATAAACTGGATTGTATAGAATGTATTATACAGGAAGCAAAGTTCGCATATTCTGCAGCACAACAGCATCGTCATGTCTTGGGTGTGAAACTAGCAATGAATCAATGGTACATGCCTTCTGGGAATCCTATGGAGTCCAGGGGTTATGGGCGTAGTTGGAATGTTGGCTGTCAGAAGTATTACAATGTAAATTTACTTTTAATCAGTCTGTCTGCATATTTCAAGAAATGGCATTTGAGGGTGCAGTGAGATAACCGATGGGTTGGTTGATACTTTTCCCGTCAATCATCTTGAAAATACTGTAAATCAATCAATCTTCCATCGTTAACACAATGGAAAGGTCAAATGCTTTATTATCTAAATGTTGAAAGTGTGTGGGCGACGGAGATAAACAAAATGGTGCGGTTTGAGGCCATGTGGCAGAGAGGGATGCGGGGGCTGGAGATGGGGGTGTTAGCAGGTGGGTCTGGGCAGTTGTGATGTCATTGAAGTTTGTGTGTGTTGTATGCTGTCGTTTGTATGTGTATGTTTTGTATTGTTTAAAAATAAATACAATCTTACAAAAGTGTGAAAGCTATGTTAACAATATATTTCCATACTGAAGCCATGCAGTTACATTACATTTACATTTACATCATTTAGCAGACGCTCTTATACAGAGCGACTTACAAATTGGTGCATTCAACTTATGATAGCAAGTGGGACCACCACTTTTTTTTACTGGGTTTTTTTAACTGTTTTTTTACTGTTCAAAAACATGTTCAACGTATTTAGCAAATATGGGATAGGCCTACATTTAGTTTCTGTAGGCTATTTACCAAACGCAATACATAAAATACCGTAAATATACAACTTGAAGCAACCACATATTTAGCCATGGGAAACATTCTGATTGGCCAGTGAGGGGTCAAGCCTCGACACTCCTTCAACTTGTTAATTCATCAAAACCCAGCCTTTTCGCGCCACCGCCAGCTACTGCGCCCGTAATTCTGGTTGTGAAAATAGCAAAAATATTTATGACACACACCAACGTATAGCTCTACTGCCAGCGCATACATTTACCATTGCTTTATGTTTGTTAAAATAGAGCCCTGTATATGTGTATGTAATCTTTTCCTAGATTGTGAACATCACCATGAATCAGCCCAGGAGTCAGCAGAGGGAGCCAGTGGACGTGACCTTCGCGGTGCGCGACGCCGTCGGCTACCTGAAGGGGTCAGAGGTCAGCAACCACCTGAGGCTGCTCAACATGGTGGAGTTCAGCTACTACCTGGGCTTTCCCGTGCTGCAGATCGCCGAGCGTGAGTCCATTACCATACTGTCTAATGGATTGGGATTTTATGCCAAGTACCCCTACTGGGATGTTCCCTTGGGGGAAATACATGTATTCTAATCGATTGTATTCTATTAGTCAATCTGCTTTACCTTCTAAGCACCTATTTTATACCTCAATAGGGAGTATTTTTAGGTTGTCTGTACTTGCCTGATTTCCCTCTCTTCTTTTCCCAATAGCTTTTCACTACCCAGAGTTGAACACCACCCAGTTGCTTCGCTCGTCTTGGGTTAGAACAGGTATGCTTCCCCTTGTCAACACCTCTGACTTTGGGTGGAATACTTAATCTAAATCTCAACTGCAGCTAGAGGATGGATATACATTCAAGGGCCTATATTCTAGCTGTGTGATAGGCAATGTGTTGGCTCTGTATTCCCTGTCCTGTGTGATATCATAACCCTCTGTTTCCCGTCCAGTGATGCTGGGTGTGCTGGACCAGGGGGTGGACGGTCGGACCTTCCAGGCCAAGATGGAGCGTCGTGTGGCCCTGCTGCTGGGAGAGGTGCTGGGGGTGGCCAGGCGTACCAAGAGAGCCACCAGCGTGGCCAACCACAGTGTTCAGGTAACCACATCAGAGACACTATACTATACTGAGAATCATCTTAGTTATCTCGTGCTGTGCTTGACTATAGCTCTTAAGTACACCAAGTACAGCTCTCACCCTGTGGTAATAACTCCTAGGCTAGGCTGTGATACTGAAGAGAGTAAGCCCGAGTCGTGTGTGACCTGACAGAAAAACAACCTGGGTTTCCTCAGCCAGCCACTAACCCACATCCAGTCTCCAGGTTTATTAGAGTGGAATGATGAACAGTGTGTGGCCCCACATGAACCACACCCCTTCACACACACACACACACACACAAACACCTCCATATCCAACTCTCTCTGGCTGTGGACTTTCACAGGTGATGCCAGCGTACTGATTCTGTCAAGTCAAACTAGGGCTTCTTTGTGACAGGCTGAGAGAGGCAGCAGGGTTTTAGTGATCACAAGTAGAGCAGACAGTCTCACTGTGTTATTTAGAGCCAGACAAACACTGACGACAGTCCTTGAAATGCAAAAAAACAAGAGGCCAGAGCAGTCTAATATGACATTTTATTTTCAAGGCTAAAAACAGAAAAGCACCATCATTACATTTGTGTGGGTGAATAATCATATTCATACTGAGGGGAAATGAAGTAGAATGCCATTTGCCGAGACCTATTAGAATTCCACCAATAGAGCCCCACAGTGGGGGTGTCATAATACCCATAAAACCTACCGGTCAAACAGGGAAATGGTTCCAATTGTTTTTCCACCATTCATTTTTCCCATAGGGGATTTTAGAAAACACTTAAAATAAGGGCTGTGTTTCGTGTAGGCTTACCCTGACGTGACATTTTGATAACCATGTAAATCTCTCTCGGACAAGGTTACTTTTATCAATATATTTGGCTCTATTTACTCTCAGATTCGAAAATGCTAATTGGCATCAAAGTAGACATGCAAAACTACCAATCCCTGCAAGCTCCGACACGTCATCTCTAGCTGACACCTTTTCTAACAGGTATTGTGTCAATTTAAAACTTGCACAAGACAGTTCACAGAATTGTCAATTTAAAGAAATGTTGCCAATTTATTCATTACTACATTTAGCTAAAATTAGATAGTTAATCCAGAGATTCTTACCTTTGCCTCGATTCGTCAGTCTCATCCAGATCGTAATTTTTTTGGGGTAAATACAGGCGAATATATTGATAAAAGTCACATTGTCCTAGAGAGATTTACACTGTTATCAAAACGTCATGCCACGGTAAGCCTACACGAAACACAGCCCTTATTTTAAGTGTTTCTAAAATCCCCTATGGGAAAAATGAATGGTGCAAAAACTATTGGAACCATTTCCCTGTTTGACCGCTAGGTTTTATGGGTATTATGACTCATACTGTGGTACTCTAATAGACCTCTAATCATAGCCCATACCTGACACACAGGTTCTGCTAATTCACTACTCATGAAACGTCCGTGGGTCTATCAGTGGAGATCTGGGAAGCAGATCTCTGAGGGTGCTATGATATTTATCACTAACATCTCCCACCTGCATGTACACCATCGCACCCTCTCTGCCTCCTCCACAGGGCCTGATAACATTTCCCTCCCCACAACTAGAGCAGATTTCTGGTTTTATAATAACTCCAGCTGCCAGGCAGAATGAGAGAGAGCGAAAGAGACAGATAATTAATAATTGATCTGCTATTAGTGACTGGCGACACAGCTTTCAAGTAACGGGTCTTGAAAGAAAGAAAAAGAGACTTGGTGGTTGGTCTTTGAGTGGCTGGCCTGTGATGAATAGGTGGTGTTGCCATGGATACCCTGGCCTATCCTGTCCCCTAAATGTTGTTGTGAAGAGAGGGAGAGGGGAGTAGAGCAGGTGCTGTGGAGAACCACAAAAGGCAGAGCTTGATTAGTAAAGCAGTGTGACTCTGGGTAGAAAAGACTACAAGCCCTCGATAATGAGTCTCACTGTTCCGATTCATGGAGAGCTCACCACGAGAAATAATATAGACCTGAGTAAAGAAGGAAGCTTTTACCAGTTGATGTGACTAACACTGTACTATTCTAACTCTGTTTGCAGCCACATCCACCAATACCCCTTCTAGACTACTGCTACATTATTGTGGGGGCTATATATAGGTATTGGTTGAAGCTCAATGTTACATTCAAATCTCCCCACCGTCATATCTAAGCCAATGTGACACTAATCTCGATGAAAATTCAGAAATCAACTTGATTTGGAGGTACACAACACACTCCCCGCCTCTCGTCATGAGCCGTCCGGCCGTTACCGAGAACCACATAGCTGATTTTTTTAAAGGGTCATTAGCAATTTATTTGTAAGAGTATTTCTTGCGCCGACCTAGCTCAAATTCTAGACGTCGGATTAAAAAGAGACTATAGCGTCAATAAAGTGACCATTGTACTTAAAAAATGCAGGATGGAATACGTTTGTAGGTGCAACAGTTTTTATTACATTTATAATGTATCGCTCTCACGTGCTCAATACTGTCTGTTATGAATCAACGATGTGCTACCTTTTTGTAGCATTTCTGACAATTCTAACATCGTTTTTAGCCGAAACTCAGAGTTTTAACACCAGGTTGGTTGCTCGGCAACAACACAGCTGCTTGCACCATGCTTCCAGTCATAAGAAGTGTATGCGATCAAACCTAATCTACTGTATATAGCTAGATATATGGTGGTATTCAAGCTGAGGTTAATCAATAAATGCAAACAGATATTTTGATTAGCTAGGTAGCTAACGTTACGTAGCTAATGATAGCTTGCGTGTACAAAGTCCAGCAGCTAGCCTCTGTAGCTAGCTACCACCAGTCAGCTGAAAGCTAGCTAGTTAACAAACAGGCAAATAAAGGTAGCTAGAATGTGCTAGATAGCTAACGTAACGTTATACCAGTCAGATGAGAGTTAACGTTTGCTAGGTAGCTAACCAACAAGCGAGGAAAGCTAGCTAGCTAACTATATTTTGCCAAGTAAGGTTTTTCACATAAGCCTGAAATCATCATGTGTAAACTGCTGATCTAGACACTTGCGTGTAATCGTTGCACAAACAAATATGCACAACTAAACTAGCGAACATCCTTGGCTGCTATGATAGCCAATTAACTTTAGCTAGCTAAGTAACCTTAGCCAACGTAAGATTGTACGTTAGCTAATGTGTATGGCCAGATCATACTTTATTACACAAGACATAACTAGTTACGTTTAAAACCACCACTTTGGGAAAATGCCACGCTCCTCACGTTCATTTGCATTGCACAGACCAAGCTACAGTAAAAGTAAAATGAGGTAGCCAGATTTCAGACAGGACGAACACTGCAGTTAGCTAACGTTACGCTACATTTCCTTCGAAAAACAACCAAGACCACACAAACCATAGCCAAGAAAACAAATTGTTTTGTTAAGAAACAGTAAGCTAGTTATGAACCGCATATAGTAAATGTTTGAATCCCAAACGCATATGTAAACAGAATCTGAAGTTGCCATGCACAAGTAAAAAGTAGTCAGTAGGCTGCACCAGTGTAAAACAATGTCAGAGTCACTGCATGCACTACATGCTGTGTTGCAGCCTGTTCTCATAGACTAGACGTAAATTAGTATGATATGTTACGTTGGGAATGGTTACATAAGACAGCAGGTTACTTAAGGAAAAAACGAGGGTAGTTAGTCGGGGTGGAAGGATGGGCGGATAATGCGAATGTCTAGCAACCCAAAGGTTGAGTGTTCCAATCTCATCATGGACAACTTTAGCATTTTAGCTAATTACCAACTTTGCAGCTACTTACTACTTTTTAGCTACTTTTCAACTACTTAGCATGTTAGCTAACCCTTCCCCTTAACCCTTTAACGTAACACCTAACACTAACATTAACCCTAACCCCTAGCCTAGCTACCGTTAGCCACCTAGCTAACAATAACGTTAGCCACCTAGCTAACGTTAGCAACAACAAATTGGAATTCGTAACATATCATACAGTGCATTCGGAAAGTATTCAGACCATTGACTTTTTCCACATTTTGTTATGTTACAGCCTTATTCTAAAATGGATAAATAAGAGTGGCGCAGTGGTCTAAGGCACTGCATCGCAGTGCTAACTGTGCTACTAGAGATCCTGGTTCGAATCCAGGCTCTGTCGCAGCCGGCCGCGACCGGGAGACTCATGGGCGGCGCACAATTGGCCCAGCGTCGTCCAGGGTAGGGGAGGGAATGGCCGGCAGGGATGTAGCTCAGTTGATAGAGCATGGCGTTTGCAACGCCAGGGTTGTGGGTTCGTTTCCCATGGGGGGCCAGTATAAAAAAAATAAAAAATAAATGTATTCACTAACTGTAAGTCGCTCTGGATAAGAGCGTCTGCTAAATGACTAAAATGTAAATGTAAAAATATTAAATCTACACACAATACCCCATAATGACAAAGTGAAAACAGGTTTTTAGAAATGTTTGCAGAAATACCTTATTTACATAAATATTCAGACCCTTTGCTATGAGACTCGAAATTGAGCTCAGGTGCATCCTGTTTCCATTGATAATCCTTGATGTTTCTACAACTTGATTGGAGTCCACCTGTGGTAAATTCAATTGATTGGACATGATTTGGAAAGGCACACGCCAGTCTATATAAGGTCCCACAGTTGACAGTGCATGTCAGAGCAAAAACCAAGCAATTAGGTCGACGGAATTGTCTGTAGAGCTCCGAGACAGGATTTTGTTGAGGCACAGATTTGGGGAAGGGTACTAAAACATTTCTGCAGCATTGAAGGTCCCCAAGAACACAGTGGCCTCCATCATTCTTAAATGGAAGAAGTTTAGAACCACCAAGACTCTTCCTAGAGCCAAGAACCCGATGGTCACTCTGACAGAGTTTCACTGTGGAGATGGGAGAACCTTCCAGAAGGACAACCATCTCTGCAGCACTCCACCAATCAGGCCTTTATGTTAGAGTGGCCAGACTGAAGCCACTCCTCAGTAAAAGGCACATGACAGCCCGCTTGGAGTTTGCCAAAAGGCACCTAAAGGACTCTCAGAACATGAGAAACGAGATTCTCTCGTCTGATGAAACCAAGATTGAACTATTTGGCCTGAATGCCAAGCGTCACATCTGGAGGAAACCTGGCACCATCCCTACGGTGAAGCATGGTGGTGGCAGCGTCATGCTGTGGGGATGTTTTTCAGCGGCAGGGCTGGGAGACTAGTCAGGATCGAGGGAAAAATGAACGGCGCAAAGTACAGAGAGATCCTTGATGAAAACCTGCTCAGGACCTCAGACTGAGGCGAAGGTGCACCTTCCAACAGGACAACAACCCTAAGCACACGGCCAAGACAATGCAGGAGTGGTTTCGGGGCAAGTCTCTGAATGTCCTTGAGTGGCCCAGCCAGAGCCCGGACTTGAACCTGTTCGAACATCTTTGGAGAGACCTGAAAAAAGATGTGCAGCGACGGTCCCCATCCAACCTGACAGAGCTTGAGAGGATCTTCAGAGAAAAATGGGAGAAACCCCCCAAATACAGGTGTGCCAAGCTTGTAGCGTCATACCCAAGACTCAAGGCTGTAATCGCTGCCAAAGGTGCTTCAACAAAGTACTGAGTAAAGGGTCTGAATACTTATGTAAATGTGATATTTCATTTTTTAAATAAATTTGCAAAAAATTCTAAAAAACAGTTTTTGCTTTGTCATTATGGATTATTGGTGTAGATTGATGAGGGGAATATAGAATAAGGCTGTAACTCAGTTGGTAGAGCATGGCGCTTGCAACGCCAGGGTTGTGGGTTCGATTCCCACGGGGGGCCAGGGGGGCCAGTATGAAAATGTATGCACTAACTGTAAGTCGCTCTGGATAAGAGCGTCTGCTAAATGACTAAAATGTAAATGAAATGTAAATGTAAATACAAGTACAAACAACTTTAAGCAATATATTATTTTGACAGAGGTAATGAACTGTCCATTGATCAGCACAGCAATTGATAAAACAGGACCATGTTTGAAACACAAGTGGTTCTGAGCTTAATTCAATATTACAAAGGTAGACTAACCATTACAGAAATCAGGAATACAGGCAGGCTCTATCTATCTGAGCTACTGTGTCCAACACACCACCACCTGTTATGTTGGGCACCTACTGACCAAAAAAGGATGTGATTTTGATTTTTTTAATTATGACATGTTTTGCTAAAATAAGGGTTCAAGGAAATACAGGCATGCACCACATTACTACAAGACAAAACAGCTCAATCAAGCAAGATGGTCTTGTAAGTATAAAAGCAAAGCTTGCATTCATTTAATTAAAAAAGTATGAAAAGGTAGCGTAATGGGATAATGTCTTACTGTGGTGTGTGATGAATCCAATACTTTACCTTGTATGCGGTACAAATAACATTATTGTGGAAGCATCTCCTCTAAGAGTATGAATTAGGCTGTTTGAGAAGGTTTGAATCCTAAGCAACCTGCCTACACCATAGTTTGAAGTACATTACCAACATATCTACTGTAGTAGGTCAAAGCTGTGTGTTGGAAAACCTTGGTAGAGCATGGGATGGAATAGGCATCGTGGTGCTCCTGAATTTCCTTTCTTTTTCTGCTTCAGACCAATGCCTATTCTCACTTAAAATGTATGTTTTTGTTTTTAATAGTTATTGGATAACGGGGAAAGAAAACCAGGTAGTGTTGCAAAATTCCGGTAACTTTCCCAATATTCCCCGGTTTTTCAGAAATCCTGGTTGGAGGATTCCTGGATTTCCCTGTTTATTCCCTCGTGATTCCAGGAATCTTCCAACCAGGATTTCTGGAAAACCAGGGAATTTGGGGAAAGTTACTGAAATTATGCAACCCTAGTACAAGGCATTGTCGCAGCAACTTTCCAGTCTATAACTGCTGATGTTAACAGTAACACACATCTCCCTCCAGATTGTGAGTACGACCAGGCTGGTGGGAGCGGACCACCCTCTGGAGATGGTGTACTTTGTGGACGGTCCTAGCGGACAGCGGCTGCCTGCCATCACCACAGCCAACATTCTGAACAGACTGGATGTGCAAAGGGCAGCCATCGTACTGGGCTACAGAGTACAGGGCATCCTGGCTACACGTAAGTAGAGCCTTAGCCTAGTTAGAGATGGCAAGACAGCACAAACAGAAATTGGGAACAGGGTAAGTCTGCCTGCCCACGCTACCCTTACTGGAGTTGAAATGAGCTGAGCTCAGTTGAATTGGAATATGAATGAAGGACCCCTGTTGTATACACAGCAATCAGCTTTGATGTATGGAGCACCTCCTCCATATATACATCCATGAATCAGTGCATTCATTGGCACAGAATAGTGTTCATTAAGCCTTTGGAGCTCCTGATCATAGGACAGTAAATCTGCACAGTTAAAAGAATACCGACTAATTGCTCAGTATATGTTGGTGTTTATTTGGCAGCGTTTGAACTAATTACCTCATCCTATACACTGGGCCAAATGCCTCGCCTCCTCATTATATATCCATGTTCGAGATGTAAGCCTAACTAACACAGTCAGAGTCAAAGCACTTCAAGGGATTTCTGTCCCTGCTTTAAGGCTGCTCTTATGGCAGGTGAGGGTTTTCCCAGGGGATACGGCAAGCCTTAGCTAAGCCTAATGAAGTCCCTTAATTGCAGAGTAGCAGCAGAAGAACAGACAGCCGTAAGACGTGTGTGTGTGTGTGTGTGTGTGTGTGTGTGTAGCAGGCAGTGTAACTACTGTAGCTGTTTATGAATGAACTCTGTGTGGAAGTTTGGAATTCTGATGGGGATGGGGACAAAAACACATAGACACAGACAGACGTGCACACACAGACAGAAAGACATACAGACAGACACATACATGTAATTACACATACAGTGGGGGAAAAAAGTATTTAGTCATCCACCAATTGTGCAAGTTCTCCCACTTAAAAAGATGAGAGAGGCCTGTAATTTTCATCATAGGTACACGTCAACTATGACAGACAAATTGAGAGAGAAAAAAATTAACAAAATCACATTGTAGGATTTTTTATGAATTTATTTGCATATTATGGGAGAAAATAAGTATTTGGTCACCTACAAACAAGCAAGATTTCTGGCTCTCACAGACCTGTAACTTCTTCTTTAAGAGGCTCCTCTGTCCTCCACTCGTTACCTGTATTAATGGCACCTGTTTGAACTTGTTATCAGTATAAAAGACACCTGTCCACAACCTCAAACAGTCACACTCCAAACTCCACTATGGCCAAGACCAAAGAGCTGTCAAAGGACACCAGAAACAAAATTGTAGACCTGCACCAGGCTGGGAAGTCTGAATCTGCAATGGGTAAGCAGCTTGGTTTGAAGAAATCAACTGTGGGAGCAATTATTAGGAAATGGAAGACATACAAGACCACTGATAATCTCCCTCGATCTGGGGCTCCACACAAGATCTCACCCCGTGGGGTCAAAATGATCACAAGAACGGTGAGCAAAAATCCCAGAACCACACGGGGGGACCTAGTGAATGACCTGCAGAGAGCTGGGACCAAAGTAACAAAGCCTACCATCAGTAACACACTACGCCGCCAGGGACTCAAATCCTGCAGTGCCAGACGTGTCCCCCTGCTTAAGCCAGTACATGTCCAGGCCCGTCTGAAGTTTGCTAGTGTGCATTTGGATGATCCAGAAGAGGATTGGGAGAATGTCATAAGGTCAGATGAAACCAAAATAGAACTTTTTGGTAAAAACTCAACTCGTCGTGTTTGGAGGACAAAGAATGCTGAGTTGCATCCAAAGAACACCATACCTACTGTGAAGCATGGGGGTGGAAACATCATGCTTTGGGGCTGTTTTTCTGCAAAGGGACCAGGACGACTGATCCGTGTAAAGGAAAGAATGAATGGGGCCATGTATCGTGAGATTTTGAGTGAAAACCTCCTTCCATCAGCAAGGGCATTGAAGATGAAACGTGGCTGGGTCTTTCAGCATGACAATGATCCCAATTGCAGATTCAGTCTTCCCAGCTGGTGCAGGTCTACAATTTTGTTTCTGGTGTCCTTTGACAGCTCTTTGGTCTTGGCCATAGTGGAGTTTGGAGTGTGACTGTTTGAGGTTGTGGACAGGTGTCTTTTATACTGATAACAAGTTCAAACAGGTGCCATTAATACAGGTAACGAGTGGAGGACAGAGGAGCCTCTTAAAGAAGAAGTTACAGGTCTGTGAGAGCCAGAAATCTTGCTTGTTTGTAGGTGACCAAATACTTATTTTCCACCATAATTTGCAAATAAATTCATTAAAAATCCTACAATGTGATTTTCTGGATTTTTTTTCCTCATTTTGTCTGTCATAGTTGACGTGTACCTATGATGAAAATTACAGGCCTCTCATCTTTTTAAGTGGGAGAACTTGCACAATTGGTGGCTGACTAAATACTTTTTTTCCCCACTGTACATGATTGTACACACACTCCATAATGTTGTATGTCATGTTATATGTTATTGATTTATCTATGGCCATCTTCCTCTGTACTGTAGCTGTGGAGAAGGTGGCAGGGTACCCTCCCCCGGACACAGAGAACACCAGCATGTGGATCATCATCGGCGTGGTGGTGCCTCTAGGCGTGGTCATCGTCATCATCTCCATCCTCTACTGGAAGCTGTGTCGCACCGACAAGCTGGAGTTCCAGCCTGACGCCATGACCACTGTCCAGCAAAGACAGAAGGTGAGGGAGGAGAGGAGAGGAGGAGGGACGATGGGCCAAGAGCATGGTCTTAGAGTCCCCCGTTTCTATGTGTGTGTTTATTCACCTCTTTTAACCTGCTGTCATCATCTTTCCATCTCTGGATGTGTTGGGTCTTACATGTTATGTTGCCTGTCTCTTTGTCCATAGCCACTGTTTTATATCTCCCAACTCTACACACACTATGGGTTGTTGGATTACTGTTTCAGTCTTTTCTGTTCTGAACATTTTCTAACTCTATGTATCCCTCTCTGGCCTATCTACAGCACCTCTGTATGTGGTATATTGTATTGTTAGTTATCTCTCACACTGACAGCTATTTTCCCTCCTCTACCTTCACACACAGCATGGAGAGATTTGTGTTATCAGCCAGTCGGCTCCTCTGTGTCTCTCCACTGTTTGTGTTATACAGTTATCTCCCCTCTTAAGGACATATCTGTATCCAGGCCTCTATATCTCCCTGGCAGTGCATTCCTCACTTGTTTTTCTCCATGTCTATGAGGCACCCTGTCCTTGTTATTATTGGAGGGCTGTAGTTCTCAAACTATGGGGAGTTGTGGTGATCTCAGGTTTGATTTCTGTGGGGCGAAGCCTAACTTCATCTTCAGTCAAATGTTCACTTAGTCATCCATTGATGTCAATGGTAGACCAAGTGAAAATGTGACTTAAGTGGGATTTGCCCCTGTGCTGATAGGCTATACTGTATGGGAGCTTAGAGTAGTAGAGTACAGTCGTGGTCAAAGGTTTTGAGAATGACACAAATATTCATTTTCACAAAGTCTGCTGCCTCAGTTTTTATGATGCCAATTTGCATATACTCCAGAATGTTATGAAGAGTGATCAGATGAATTGCAATTAATTGCAAAGTCACTCTTTGCCATGAAAATGAACTTAATCCCCCAAAAACATTTCCACTGCATTTCAGCCCTGCCACAAAAGGACCAGCTGACATCATGTCAGTGATTCTCTTGTTAACACAGGGGAGAGTGTTGACAAGGACAAGGCTGGAGATCACTCTGTCATGCTGATTGAGTTAGAATAACAGACTGGAAGCTTTAAAAGGAGGGTGGTGCTTGAAATCATTGTTCTTCCTCTGTTAACCATGGTTACCTGCAAGGAAACACGTGCCGTCATCATTGCTGTGCACAAAAAGGGCTTCACAGGCAAGGATATTGCTGCTAGTAAGATTGCACCTAAATCAACCATTTATCGGATCATCAAGAACTTCAAGGAGAGAGGTTCAATTGTTGTGAAGAAGGCTTCAGGCGCCCAAGAAAGTCCAGCAAGCGTCAGGACCGTCTCCTAAAGTTGATTCAGCTGCGGGATCGGGGCACCACCAGTGCAGAGCTTGCTCAGGAATGGCAGCAGGCAGGTGAGAGTGCATCTGGACGCACAGTGAGGCGAAGACTTTTGGAGGATGGCCTGGTGTTAAGAAGGGCAGCGAGGAAGCCACTTCTCTACCGGAAAAACGTCAGGGACAGACTGATATTCTGCAAAAGGTACAGGGATTGAACTGCTGAGGACTGGAGTAAAGTAATTTTCTCTGATGAATCCCCTTTCCGATTGTTTGGGGCATCCGGATAAAAGCTTGTCCGGAGAAGACAAGGTGAGCGCTACCATCAGTCCTGTGTCATGCCAACAGTAAAGCATCCTGAGACTATTCATGTGTGGGGTTGCTTCTCAGCCAAAGAACACTGCCATGAATAAAGAATGGTACCAACACATCCTCCGAGAGCAACTTCTCCCAACCATCCAAGAACAGTTTGGTGACGAACAATGCCTTTTCCAGCATGATGGAGCACCTTGCCATAAGGCAAAAGTGATAACTAAGTGGCTCGGGGAACAAAACATCACATTTTGGGTCCATGGCCAGGAAACTCCCCAGACCCTAATCCCATTGAGAACTTGTGGTCGATCCTCAAGAGGCGGGTGGACAAACAAAAACCCACAAATTCTGACAAACTCCAAGCATTGATTATGCAAGAATGGGCTGCCATCAGTCAGGATGTGGCCTAGAAGTTAATTGACAGCATGCCAGGGTGGATTGCAGAGGTCTTGAAAAATAAGGGTCAACACTGCAAATATTGACTCTTTGCATAAACTTAATGTAATTGTCAATAAAAGCCTTTGACACTTATGGAATGCTTGTAATTATACTTCAGTATACCATAGTAACATCTGACAAAAATATCTAAAAACACTGAAGCAGCAAACTTTGTGAAGACCAATACTTGTGTCATTCTCAAAACTTTTGACCACGACTGTACTATCTCCCTCCCCTGCTGCCAATGATCCAGCCTCATGCTGGAGAGGATCACAGGCTCCATATGTGGCAGCAGCCCATGCTGGAGAGAGGATAACAGGCTCGCTATGTGGCAGGCAGCCCAACAGTAATTGGCTCTCACTGCAGTAAGGCACAGCAGCTGTGTTCTTGCCCAGGGCTGCCCCCACTGTACTGCAGCTCCACACAGCTCTGCAAGATCCCCCTGTCTGGTCTGTCTGTGTTGTTTTTATGGGTTATCCTGTCTCTCTGATTGATCCGTTTGTCTGCCTTCTTTTCCTCTGCCTCTGACCTCTCTGTCCAACTGGAGTGAGGCAGCCGCACACTGATGTGTAGAAGCATCTATCCTTCCTTACCTCAGTCTAAGACCCCTGCCATCCATCACGTAACACCTCTCCTCTTTCCATTTCTATCTCTTTTCCTCTTTCTATTTCTGTTCAGTTCGCTCAATCGTTCAGGGAATCATCGTTCAGGGAATCATCGTTCAGGGAATCATCGTTCAGGGAATCATCGTTCAGGGAATCATCGTTCAGGGAATCAAGGTCTCGTCTTCCAATCAAGAGGCAAATAATGATTAGTGAGAGTGAGGAGGAAGAGGAGGATGTGGAGGAGGAAGAAGAGGAGGAAGAAGACGAGAGAAAGGGGAAGGTACAGAGTAGAAGCTAGTAGTTTGTAGAAGACCCTGAAGAGAATGGGTTGTGTAGTGGATTTGAGTCCATTGGTTGTTGTGAGTAGTGTAGTTAAGGGGCAATAAAGTCCCATGGTAGTGAATAGAAGACCCAAGGACCTGGTCAACTCATCACATGTATCAATCCCCATCCCACCCACTGCATCCACTCAGGGACCAAACCTTCCTCCTCCCAAGCCAAAGCCCAAGCAGAAAAGTGAGAGCTATGAGGAGGAGGAAGAAGAGGAAGACGAGGAGGAAGAAGAGGAGGAGGAGGAAGAAGAGGAAGACGAGGAGGAGGAGGAGGAAGAAGAGGAAGAAGACAAGAGAAAGGGGAAGGTACAGAGTAGAAGCTAGTAGTTTGTAGAAGACCCTGAAGAGAATGGGTTGTGTAGTGTGTAGTGGATTTGAGTCCATTGGTTGTTATGAGTAGAGAATGATAGCAAATTGGCCCTGTAGTTAAGGGGCAATAAAGTCCCATGGTAGTGAATAGAAGACCCAAGGACCTGGGCAACTCATCCCATGTATCAATCCCCATCCCACCCACTGCATCCACTCAGGGACCAAACCTTCCTCCTCCCAAGCCAAAGCCCAAGCAGAAAAGTGAGAGCTATGAGGAGGAGGAAGAAGAGGAAGATGAGGAGGAAGAAGAGGAGGAGGAGGAAGAAGAGGAAGAAGACGAGAGAAAGGGGAAGGTACAGCGTAGAAGCTAGTAGTTTGTAGAAGACCCTGAAGAGAATGGGTTGTGTAGTGTGTAGTGGATTTGAAGGTAGGAGGAGGAAGAAGAGGAAGAGGAAGAAGAGAAAAAGAAAACAGTGTTGAAAGGGAAGCAGAAGGTACAATGTACTGTAGAAAGATATAGTCTTCTCCATATTAGACATGCTGGCCTGTCTCCAGGCTTTAGAGAGCGGCCGGTCAGACACTGAGATGTCAGCTAGTCTGGCCTAGTACTCATGTTCATGTATTATAGAATAATAATAATAATAATAATATGCCATTTACCAGACGCTTTTATCCGACTTACAGTCACACTGCCACCGTACCACACTATGGCTCTCAAAATAAAACATTGTTGGCATATGGTAATTGATTCTTCTGGTGGATCACTCAACAGAGTTGATATACACAGCTCTGTCTAGAATGCAGAGGCTTTTTTGTGTGAACACTGTCTGTCTGTCTGTCTGTCTGTCTCTCTCTCTATCTCTCTCTCCTCTATCCTCAGCACCAGGCTCCCAGTGTGAAGGGCTTTGACTTTGCCAAGCTGCACCTGGGCCAGCACAGTAAGGATGACATCATGGTAATCCAGGAGCCTGGTGCCCCCGGCCCTCCCCCACCCATCTCCAACACCAAGGAGGCTGCCGCCACCTCGAAGAACGGTGAGGTCCCCACCCCCAGGTCAAAAGGGACCTCCATCTCCTCCACCAAGGCGTCCCGCAGCGCATGCAGACGAGGAAGGTCAGTAGCCCCCCCCCCCCACAGTTTGTGTGACTGCGTGCGCGCTTTCGTGTGTGCATGCTAAGTGGCTTTGTAGCTCTGCCTCATTCACCTCAGCAGGGAGATTCCAGTAGACAAATGCTTTGAAAGATGTTCCATTCACAACAGCCCATCTTAATCAATTATTAACACAATACAGTACAATAGATATTTGTTGTCTTTTGTTTAGCGGGGCTTCTACCTGCCATATAAGCCAGGTAGAAAATATAAAAGCAGTAACATATACTTCCTACTGTCGGCCGCTCAGTTAATTTTCGGCACCATGTCCCACACAGCAGGGTCAGCAGTTTCGGAGTAACCTAACGCTGGACTCTTCACAGTCACACCATCACAGCTAAATCAATGATGTCAATACGAGATGGTCTATTCTCGTGAGACAGAATGGTCGCTCCGACTAAAATATAATTTATCCTCGCTAATTGCTTTAGCTAATAGCATATTAATTAGGCTTGAATGCTGGAGTGGCAGTTAGCACTCTCAATCCGGTGATGAGTGTGATGGGTTGCTGTCACATTGTCACTAATGTGTAGCGCATTAAAAGAGAGGATTGATATCGACATGTCCTCCACTCTGGACAGCTGTTCTAAAAGTGTTGGATAGGAATTTAATTATACTGTCAATGGGAATAATGCTGGTGATCGATTACAACAAAAGGTTTCTTTCTTTCGAGGAAAAGCCATTACAAAAAGGATTTCCCCTGATGAACTATAGTGTTTTGTTCTGTTGACCTATTTTTAAAAAGCACTGTAAGTATGTAGGTGTGGCACGTATCGTATGTGTTCTTACATCTACTTGCTTCCATGACACGTGTTTCCAGGGACAGGATCTCTCCGTCGGACGGGGACTCCATGGTGAGCGCTGGGTCCAGTGATCGTGAGAGGGAGTTAGCCGAGGAGAACCTGAGAGCCTTCGCCACGCCCAACGACAGCAAGCAGGCCCGCAAGATCCCCATCAATGTTTTAAATGGCAAGTGTCCATGGCAACACTGGCTCACATCCATGCTCTCAAGTACACAGAGAGAAGAGGAGGAGGAGGGGGAGGAGAGAGAGAGACAAAGAGAAAGAGCAACTCATGTTGAGAGGAAAAACAGGAGAATAGAGAGACTTTCAGGAAGAGAAACAAGCAACTGATAGACAGACCAGGAGAGACAGAGAGAGACAGAAGGAGGAGAGACTGCGTTAGTGTGAAAGGGAGATAGGTAGGGTGTCTGACAGCCTGTTGAAAGGACCAGGCCTGTGTTGTGCCACTCTGGCCTGGTTGCTGGGTGTGTACAATGTGCAGACAGAGACCGAGCCAACACCAGCCAGGCTCAGACTGAACCTGACTCACCACAGAGGCATGGTTCCAGCAGTATGACCTCACATCCCTTCCTCCTGCACTCTGCCGTACACTCACAATGTCACACACACACACTACCTCTCACACGCACACTACCTCTCAGGGCTGCTCCTCAGCATGCTTTCCCTTTTCTCCTCTCACACGCACACTACCCCCTCAGTCTAAATAGGCTTAGCTGAGGTCAGGAGACCAAACGTTATCAGCACTGGAATTTCTTCTTCTAAATGAGTTGCTCTGCCTTGCCTGTCTGCCCTGATTCTGCTATGGATGTCCAAGACCTGACATAGCGGAGTAGCGTATACAAATGTTCCAAGACCTGACATAGCACTCAAAGTAGTGTATACAAATGTTCCAAGACCTGACATAGCACTCAGAGTAGTGTATACAAATGTTCCAAGACCTGACATAGCACTCAGAGTAGTGTATACAAATGTTCCAAGACCTGACATAGCACTCAGAGTAGTGTATACAAATGTTCCAAGACCTGACATAGCACTCAGAGTAGCGTATACACAACTATGATGATGTAGTGCAGAGCTATGCAAAGACTTCAAGTATTTTTTCTAATGTCTGGGACTGTCTAACCTAGGTCTATTGAAATGTAAGGACAAACTGTAGCCTATGTCAATATATTTCAAACAGGATTACATTATCTTTAACTTTTTTCTTTCTGTCTACTGTTTTCCCTTAACTTTTATCTTTCTTGTCTGTTGTGGCTTGCAGGAAAGAATAGAATTGGTAAGAGTTATTCTTCTGTCTGTCGGTGTTGTAGACATGAGGCTTTGTGACTTGATGTGTCTGTGTGACCGTGATGTGACGTCCATTGTGTTGCGATTGCTTTGTGTTGTGCATCTTATCAATCACCACTATTGAGATGTCAGATGTTTCGTCCCAGAGATGGGGAACAATGAATCTTGAACAACAAGCTTAAACGTTTTTCTTGTAGGCTACCAAACATCTGAATTAGTGTCTTACGTTGGTATACATCAAACATATCATCAATACAAATAATCTTGATAATGGTGAAATTATTCATCCAATTCAGTGCAGATAAGAATCATCCGTGCACAGAGAATGCTTGTTGTTATTGTAAAAGAGAATTTGAGAAAATGTGTTCTCATTGACTTCCCTTGCTGAAAAAAGGATCTGCCCCCTGGTGGTGTAAAGAGTTACATGACACCTGTGACAAACTTCCAGACCTTGCCTGGTTGTGATGTTGACCTTCATTTCCCTCCCTGGTCTCCCTCAGGTCCTCCTCCCATGAACGGCCATGACGAGCATCTCTCCTCAGCCTCCATCTTTGAGCATGTGGACCGCATGTCGCGCTCGGCCGACGGCACCCGGCGCCTATCCAATAAAATTCAGCTCATCGCCATGCAGCCCATGGCTGTCCCGCCCCAGCACCACAGCCCCACTGTCAACGGCATTAACGGCAGAGGGCCAGATACACACAACATCTTTAACAAGGAGGTGAGACACTGACCCGCCCACACACTAACACCCTTACTCATACACATGTATACAGGTTACAGTAATGTCATTCATTACCTTACATGGAGCGTGTATGAACAGTAGACGTCTCTGAACCTCTCTATTCTCCCTCCTGTCTGGACATACAAAGAAAATATATTTTATGTTAGTGAGACTAACCTACACTGAGTGTAGAAAAAATCAGGAACACCTGCTCTTTCCATGACATAGACTGACCAGGTGAATCCAGGTGAAGGCTATGATCTCTTATTGATGTCACTTGTTAAATCCACTTCAATCGGTGTAGATGAAGGGGAGGAGACAGGTTAAATAAATATTTTTAAGCCTTGAGACAATAGAGACATGGATTGTGTATTTGTGCCATTCAGAGGGTGTTTAAGTGCCTTTGAACAGGGTATGGTAGTAGGTGCCAGGCGCACCGGTTTGAGTGTGTCAAGAACTGCAACGCAGCTGGGTTTTTCACACCCAACAATTTCCTGTGTGTATCAAGAATGGTCCACCACTCAAAGGACATCCAGACAACTTGACACAACTGTGGGAAGCATTGGAGTCAACGTGGGCCAGCATCCCTGTGGAACACTTTCGACACCTTGTAGAGTCCATGCCCTGACGAATTGAGGCTGTTCTGAGGGCAAAAGGGGGTGAACTCAATATTAGGAAGGTGTTCCTAATGGTTTGTACACTCAGTGTATATAAATCATGGTTAAATGAAATATACATTATGTATACTAAAGCTGCATCTGGCCAGGTGTTTCTCACTGCAGTCATGTCTATTATTCAGATCCAGGTGGCGTTGAGGCATAAGTCTGAGATCGAGCACCACCGTAACAAGATCCGTCTGCGGGCCAAGAGGAAGGGTCACTATGACTTCCCTGCCATGGACGACCTGGTGGACAATGGTCTGACCACTGACCCAAAGGACCAGGACCGCATCTACCACAAGGCCCAGATGCAGATTGACAAGATCCTGGACCCTGACATCCACATGCCCTCACTGTTCATGGAGCCTAAAAAGAGGTCAGGGGTTATTTGGGTAGGGGAGGGGTAGGGTGCACACAGGGAGGGGTGCGTGTACAGTAGGCTAAATGTATCTGAGGAAGCTGCACACTGCAAAAAGTCGAAATATCTTATATTGAGCAATAATTCACTTTAAAAAATGTTTTCTTACCAAGCTAAATTATCTAACGTCTTATTTCAAGATATTTTTCAAGATATTTCACCTTAATCATCTTAAATAAGATGAATTACTTGTATTAAGCTTTTTTTAGGTTGAAATAAGCAAAATTATCTGCCAATGACGTTAGATAATTTAGCTAGATAATTAATTTTAAGTTAATTATCACTATGATATCAGTGTGTCTGTATGTTTCTCATTATAAAACATATTCTCAAGAGAATGAGTTATCCAGCTATTTTTGCAAATGACTGACAGAGAGAAATCATTTTTGGAGCTGTACACCATCCAGAAATGTTTTGACAAGTTTGTTTTGTTGTGATAACTTTGAACTCTGGAGAAATCTACCAGTATGAGAGATGTTCTGACAATGGAAATGTACAGTGCATTCAGAAAGTATTCCGACCCCTTGACTTTTTCCACATTTTGTTACATTACAGCCTTATTCTAAAATGTATTAAATAAAACATTTTCCTCATCAATCTACACACAGTACCCCATAATGGCAAAGTGAAAACGGGTGTTTTATACTGAAATACCTTATTTACGTATGTATTGTATTCAGACCCTTTGCTATGAAACTTGAAATTGAGCTCAGGTGATCCCGATGGTCACTCTGACAGAGCTCCAGAGTTCCTCTGTGAAGATGGGAGAACCTTCCAGAAGGACAACCATCTCTGCAGCACTCCACCAATCAGGCCTTTATGGTAGAGTGGCCAGACGGAAGTCACTCCTCAGTAAAAGGCACATGACAGCCCGCTTGGAGTTTGCCAAAAGGCACCTAAAGGACTCACACCATTACATTTACATTTTAGTCATTTAGCAGACGCTCTTATCCAGAGCGACTAACAGTTAGTGAGTGCATACATTTTCATACTGGCCCCCCGTGGGAAACGAACCCACAACCCTGGCGTTGCAAGCGCCATGCTCTACCAACTGAGCTACAGGGGACTCACGTCTGGAGGAAACCTGGCACCATCCCTACGGTGAAGCATGGTGGTGGCAGCATCATGCTGTGGGGATGTTTTTCAGCGGCAGGGACTGGGAGACTAGTCAATGTACAGGGAGATCCTTGATGAAAACCTGCTCCAGAGCGCTCAGGACCTCAGACTGGGGTGAAGGTTCACCTTCCAACAGGACAACAACCCTAAGCACACAGCCAAGACAACGCAGGAGTGGCTTTTGGACAAGTCCATGAGTCGCCCAGCCAGAGCCAGGACTTGAACCCGATTGAACATCTCTGGAGAGACCTGAAAATAGCTGTGCAGCGACGTTCCCCATTCAACCTGACAGAGCTTGAGAGGATCTGCAGAGAAGAATGGGAGAAACTCACCAAATACAGGTGTGCCAAGCTTGTAGCATCATACCCAAGAAGACTCGAGGTTGTAATCGCTGCCAATGGTGCTTCAACAAAGTACTGAGTAAAGGGTCTGAATACTTATGTAAATGTGATATTTAAGCTTTTACAAAAATGTCAAAAAAACTGTTTTTGCTTTGTCATTATGCGGTATTATGTGTAGATTGATGAGGGGGAAAAACAATTTAATCCATTTTAGAATAAGGCTGTAATGTAACAAAATGTGGAAAAAGTCAAGGGGTCTGAATACTTTCCGAATGCACTGTATAACACGTTTTTAAAATGCGCCCTCAGTTTGCAAACATTTTAGGGAAACAGAAAAAGCTATCTCCATTAAATAATAAACCCTGAACAGTCAATTTTGATGTCTCTATTCAAATTGCTGGGATTCCATTCCAAACGACCAGTAGATAACATTCCTAGCCTAAAATGTTTGATTCTGTCGGTGGTTGCATCTGACATAGCGCCCTATTCCCTATATAGCACACTACTTTTGAGTGTACTTCTTTTGAGTGCACTATATAGGTTAAAAGTAGTGTGCTATAGGGAATAGGGTGCCATTTTAGTGTGTCCACGATGTGAGGGAAGTAACTGTATGAAAGGTGGGCTACTAGTCTGTATTGACATGTGTGTGTCTCTCAGTGGCAGGGGGAGGCGTTCTCCCAAGCAGAGGAAGAAGCACCAGCTGAACGGCAGCCTGACAGACGCAGACAAGGACCGCCTCATCTCCAACGACAGTGATGGCACCTACAGGAAATACCCCGGGGTCAACAACGTGGCCTATGTGGTGGGTATACCTGTGGAACATATTGTATACACCAGTGGAGGCTGGTGGGAGGCGCTATAAGAACAGGCTCATTGTAATGGCTGGAATGGGAAATGGAACGGTATCAAACAAATCATACATATGGAAGCCACGTTTGAGTCTGTTCCATTTATTCCATTCTATATTCCTTCTCTAGCTCCTCCCACCAGCCTCCACTGGTACACGCACACAAACACTCACACAGACAAACATACATCAATATTCTTCCAATGGAGATCTCAACCAGCGCAGGGATAAAGTGTGCTTTAAAAGTCAACACCATAATGTTAACGGACAGGGATGTCTTCTTGGTCCGGGTCCAGATGTAACATACTGTACATAAAACATGAATGTTCCTATTCCCCTCCCCTCTCTTTACATTAGAAAAATCTAGTCTCTTATTGTCAGAGTTAGTATGGAATTTTTAAATGGTGTTTTCCAGGCCTGTAAAAGTTTTGGAAAATGATCAAATCCGAAAAGTTTTGGAAAAGTCATGGAAATTCATTTAATGTAATTTATTTTATCAATATTTTATAAATCAAATAAAAATCAACATATCAGCCAGGATCGGAATGAAACTTCAGCAGTCTGTGTGTGCGAGACGAGTGGGCCATTGAACATTGCAGCAGCAGTTAGGCCTAGCCTATAAAATATGATAGAGAACAGACTGACTAGGTAGCCAATTTAAAACATATCTTATACCTTCTAGTTAACTGTTTAGCGATTGATAGCATGTATTATTGTTTTCGTCATCTCCCAAAAAACGTTCCACCGACACTCGCGAATACGGCCATACAAAGTTGATTTACTTTTTTGAACAATTCATATGATTCATTTAAACAATTAATTTTTGACAAAACAAACAATTCACTTCGCCAATATATTAGTTGGGATTCGGTTCAATCGTGGTGACTCGAATCATTTGAATCAAAATAATACTTTTTGAATCTTGAACATTAATTTTAGGAAAAAATATTAAATAAATAAAAATAAATAAATAATATGCCATTTAGCAGACGCTTTTATCCAAAGCGACTTACAGTCATGCGTGCATACATTTTTTTTTTGTGTATGGGTGGTCCCGGGGATCGAACCCACTACCTTGGCGTTACAAGCGCCGTGCTCTACCAGCTGAGCTACAGAGGACCAGGCTACATATTAGATGTAGCCTTTCTTTTGGATTATGTGGCTTCAAAGCTTGTTTTGTAGATACCTCCAGTTGATTTGGGCATCCAATGTATGGGACAATGCAACTCAATAGATGGTAGTCATCCTGCAAAGTAAACACTTCTAAGGTAGCTAAGATAAATGTGACTAAACTAGAAATAGGTCAATTTCCTGAAAACTTGTTGGCTTGCTTCAGCTCAATAAAAATATTTGTAACCTATCATAGCTGATATATTGAATGAGCAAATTTTTTCAAAAGGCATGAAACGTATTTGGTTGTAGTGTTGCAGTGTTTTACATCAAGGGTGGTCAACCATCCTCCAGGAGAGCTAATGGGTGTGCAGGCTTTTTTTCCAGTCCCCCTCTAACAAACCACATTTTAGAAATGAGCATCTCAACCGGACCTTGATAAACTGGCTCTGATATGTTTGAGCAGGGCTTGATCAATGTCATGGAAAATGTCATGGAAAAGTCATGAAATTCCATCTGTCAAAATGTGTATGAACCCTGTATTGTTCCCAGTCGGACCCTGACCAGGCCCCAGAGTCCGGGACCCCCTCCCCCAACGACGACGTGTTCCTGGGCTCCATCTCGCCCCCTCCGGGGCAAGCCCCTCCCCCGCCCCCCTACATGCCCCCCCTGCCCTCCATCGAGGAGGCCAGGCAGCAGATGCACTCCCTGCTGGACGATGCCTTCGCCCTGGTCTCCCCCACCTCCCAGGGCAGCACGGCCGGCATCACACTGCCCGGGGTCAACTCCAACCCCCCCAGCTCCAGCCCCCCACCTCACGGTGGAACCCGCCCCTGGGGTACTTCCTACCCAGCCCTCAGCCCCTTCTCCTCAGTAAGTACTAGGCCTTTCAATAGACCTATTGATTACCTAACACATCTGTACTGTAAATTAGCCTTAAGCCTGCTCTGGAATACTCTACATACAGTTGGGAGAACAAGTATTTGATACACTGCCGATTTTGCAGGTTTTCCTATTTACAAAGCATGTAGAGGTCTGTAATTTTTATCATAGGTACACTTCAACTGTGAGAGACGGAATCTAAAACAAAAATCCAGAAAATCACATTGTATGATTTTTAAGTAATTAATTTGCATTTTATTGCATGACATAAGTATTTGATCACCTACCAACCAGTAAGAATTCAGTCTCTCACAGACCTGTTAGTTTTTCTTTAAGAAGCCCTCCTGTTCTCCACTCATTACCTGTATTAACTGCACCTGTTTGAACTTGTTACCTGTATAAAAGACACCTGTCCACACACTCAATCAAACAGACTCCAACCTCTCCACAATGGCCAAGACCAGAGAGCTGTGTAAGGACATCAGGGATAAAATTGTAGACCTGCACAAGGCTGGGATGGGCTACAGGGCAATAGGCAAGCAGCTTGGTGAGAAGGCAACAACTGTTGGCGCAATTATTAGAAAATGGAAGAAGTTCAAGATGACGGTCAATCACCCTCGGTCTGGGGCTCCATGCAAGATCTCACCTCGTGGGGCATCAATGATCATGAGGAAGGTGAGGGATCAGCCCAGAACTACACGGCAGGATCTGGTCAATGACCTGAAGAGAGCTGGGACCACAGTCTCAAAGAAAACCATTAGTAACACACTACGCCGTCATGGATTAAAATCCTGCAGTGCACGCAAGGTCCCCATGCTCAAGCCAGCGCATGTCCAGGCCCGTCTGAAGTTTGCCAATGACCATCTGGATGATCCAGAGGAGGAATGGGAGAAGGTCATGTGGTCTGATGAGACAAATATAGAGCTTTTTGGTTTAAACTCAGCTCGCCGTGTTTGGAGGAAGAAGAAGGATGAGTACAACCCCAAGAACACCATCCCAACCGTGAAGCATGGAGGTGGAAACATCATTCTTTGGGGATGCTTTTCTGCAAAGGGGAAACTGACGACTGCACCTTATTGAGGGGAGGATGGATGGGGCCATGTATCGCGAGATCTTGGCCAACAACCTCCTTCCCTTAGTAAGAGCATTGAAGATGGGTCGTGGCTGGGTCTTCCAGCATGACAACGACCCGAAACACACAGCCAGGGCAACTAAGGAGTGGCTCCGTAAGAAGCATCTCAAGGTCCTGGAGTGGCCTAGCCAGTCTCCAGACCTGAACCCAATAGAAAATCTTTGGAGGGAGCTGAAAGTCCTTATTGCCCAGCGACAGCCCCGAAACCTGAAGGATCTGGAGAAGGTCTGTATGGAGGAGTGGGCCAAAATCCCTGCTGCAGTGTGTGCAAACCTGGTCAAGACCTACAGGAAACGTATGATCTCTGTAATTGCAAACAAAGGTTTCTGTACCAAATTTTAAGTTCTGCTTTTCTGATGTATCAAATACTTATGTCATGCAATAAAATGCAAATGAATTACTTAAAAATCATACAATGTGATTTTCTGGATTGTTGTTTTAGATTCCGTCTCTCACAGTTGAAGTGTACCTATGATAAAAATTACAGACCTCTACATGCTTTGTAAGTAGGAAAACCTGCAAAATCGGCAGTGTATCAAATACTTGTTCTCCCCACTGTATATGTTCCAATTAAATTAACTCTGATTATATTAGGAATATTTACAATATGATACACACTGAGTATACTAAACATTAAGAACACCTTCCTAATATTGAGTTTCATCCCCCCATTTGCTCTCAGAACAGCCTCAATTCGTTGGGGCATGGACTCTACAAGGTGTCGAAAGCATTCAACAAGGATGCTGGCCCATGTTGACTCCATTGCTTCCCACAGTTCTGTCAAGTTGGCTGGATGTCCTTTGGGTTGTGGACCATTTTTGATACACACAGGAAACATTTGAGCATGAAAAACCCAGCAGCTTCGCAGTTCTTGACATAAACCGGTGCGCCCTCTGAATGGCACACATACACAATCCATGTCTCAATTGTCTCAAGGCTTAAAAATCCTTCTTTAACCTGTCTCCTTCCCTTCATCTACACTGATTTGAAGTGGATTTAACAAGTGACATCAATAAGAGATCATAGCTTTCACCTGGATTCACCTGGTCAGTCTGTCATGGAAAGAGCAGGTGTCCTTATTGTTTTGTATACTGAGACAAAGGAGCAGTATATCATAAATGATATATATGAATCACGGAGTTTCCAGTCCAGATGCAACCGCTTTGAACAAATGCCAACACTATATTTCTAGTGCAATAATAGTGGATATGCCAGCGCTTTAAATTTACACTGCATTCCTTTCTTAAATAGAACACCGTCTGCTGTTCAAAGTTCATTTTAGGGCATTTGAAGCAAGACCAGAACCAATATGTTACAGAATATAGGTTATTTGATAAGAGCAAATATAGTCTATTCAGCTGCTCTAAATAAATATTTTATTTGACCTTTCCTGTTTTGTTTTATAAAGTTCACCCCCAGTCATTTTAAATTCATACAGACATCTTAGGAGAGTAAGAGCTCTGTTGTCTAAAACCAGCCCAATATAAAACCAGTTAGCTACCTCAGGTGTAGAGAGAGCTCTGAATTCCCCCGTTATCATAAAAGCCATTTCCGGTGCTTGTTCTGGTTCAGTGCATTAACGTGCTCTGAAAGGTCACTTTTAGAGAAGGAAAATAACATCATATAACAATATATATCAATAACAACATAATGTGAAATTCAATCAATAGAAATATCCATATTATGCTCAAGCTTTATCTTGATATATTCTGGGTTATTGGGTGATATCTGTTTTGATTGTACATGACCTGCAAGCTTCTGTGAGGTCCCTGGAGTCTTGAGTTCATCCCAGTGTCTTTGTCCTGACAATATGCCTGTCTCTCTCCTCAGAGATACGCTGAGTTAGGAATGTCGCCTCCTTCAGTCCAAGGCTTACTACAGAGGTGAGTAGCTTACCACTGAGATACAATATCATGTATATGTGGCATAATATGTGATTGAATGTAATACTATGTGTAGTAACTAACTCTGAGAGAAAAGGAGGAGGATTTTTAATTGTTGTCACGTTTTCCTCAGATGACTCTAGGCTACATTGATCCATACATTACATCCATACATTATCTATGGTCTCATAGCCCCAGTTCTTTAGTGGGGGGATGTTGTCCCTTGCCGGTGTCCATGCGGAGGCTAGGGAATTGGGCCTCAAACATGATTTAGTCTGGATCATCTTTATTTTAGTACCTTAATGGATCCAGTCTGTGTGATGGTCTCTTAACTGCCCAATAAAAGACAGACATGGTGGCGATTGCTTTGGTCGATCTTCTTTTGGATTATTGATTGGTTTACACACACGCACCTATACTTATATGTAGAGACACGCGTGTGCAAGTCACATACACAAACACACACACGACACACACACTGAAACTATAACCGACACTTCTGTACAATACAATAGAAGCTATGATATTGTGCTGTAGGAACAGTATTTGAGATGTGTGTGTATTTCAGACAGGGCCTGGGCTCCAGCTACCCACCAGGTGACCCAGGACATGTTGACCAGCTCCCCCCAGAGAGCCACTACTCCACCAGGGGTCTGTACACTGAAGACCTGCCCTCCTCTACCAGGCCACGTCCAGTAGGGGGCACCATAGGTACACACACGTGCATGCATGCATGCACGCACACACAAACACACACAAACACCCAGCTCAGCATTCACTGGATGTATGCCATTGTGTCTAAACCAGACCACTCCCCTCCCTCCCATAAACCTGCCTGCCTCAAACAGCCTTGTCTCTGTTTAATTATTAAAGAGTCTGGTGTTGGCTGTTGGCACTGCTGTGAGAGTTACACTAATAGAAATGGACTGTTATGGAGTGCTGCTGCTGCACAGACAGCATTTCAACTGAAGGATTTGCATCAAAGCATATTAGAGGCTATGGAGGATTAAGTGTCAGATATGGCTGAGGGTTGATGTGTTTTTGTGTTTTTGTGTGTGTGTGTGTGTGTGTGTGCGCGTGCGTGCATGCGTCTGTTTGTAGGTGCCCAGCTCCATCACCTGAACCAGGTGGATCTTGGGAGCCGGATCAAGGGGGGGTACCCGGCGGGGGGCAGGGCACCACCAGGTCAGACTGGAGGCTCAGGGTGGGGACCGTACTCTGACGATGACTTCAGACCCACCAGAGACCCTGTGAGTCCTGCTCTGGCTTCACACAGCCTTATGAGACTTACTGTACCTCCGCTTTTCATCCCTTCCTCTTCAAGCTATCCTCTCTAAATCTCTAAATATATAGTACAATGGCATGCTTGTGGTGTTCTATGCTCTATTGTTGCTGCATATCTGTTTGAGTACTGTAGTTCTAGATGTTGGTTCACTCTAGCTCAGGGTTCTTCAATTCCGGTCCTGGAGGGCCGAAACACTTCTGTTTTTTATTTCTACCTGGTAGTTAATTGCACTCACCTGGTTTCCCAGGTCTGAATTAGCCCCTGATTAGAAGGAGAGGATGAAAAATAGAGGTGTTTCGGCCCTCCAGGACCGGAATTGAAGAACCCTGCTCTAGCTCTTCTACCTCCCAGCTGTCAATCTGTACATTAACTATCCCTTGATATATCGATAAGTGTACTGAAATAGACAATATAAAAACACACTTTCCTCTTTTCTCCTTAAAACTCCTTTCTCTTCTTCATTCCCTCCTTCCCTGCTGGGCTACCCTGACTCCTCCTCCTCTATGTTCCAGATGCCTAGTAGGAGTGCACTAAGGGAGCCCTCTTCCCAGCTGGACATCTACCCCCCCGAGGAGTCCTCCTCTCCCCCCAACCACTCCTCGGCCTCCCTCATCAAGGCCATCAGGGAGGAGCTGCTGCGCCTCTCCCAGAAACAGCAAGCCGTGCCCAGCTACCACAGCTGAGACAGACGGCCTCCTCTGGTCCTCAATTAACCTTTACTGCTACATCCACCAGTCATACCACTGCCCCTGCCTGCCAGCTCCAACCTAGCAATGCTTCCCATGGAAGTTCCTTTGTACAGGAGAGAGATAGTACTGCTGGGCTGGGTCAAGGTGGCTATTGGCAAACCAGACCAAACTGAATGAGAAGATGAAGTCATATATGCCAGCTAGTAGCCTAACCATGCATAGGGTCATTATATGAATGAACTGTTCTCTAGACTGGATCTTAGCCTCTGGCTCTCTGACCCAGACCCCATTGGAAGTTGGAACCCAGACTGTCCTATAACATACAGTGTACTACAGTATAAGTGACCCTAGCGGTTTGAGGGAGAAGGTGTGAACTGAATGGTCCCCTGCTCCCTGCTCTCCAGCTCTGGCCAGGGCATCTCTGCCAAAGCCTGGCCATGACCGCTGATCCCTGCCCAGTGTTTTTAATTTGAGGTGTTGTTGCTTTCGTTCTTTTTAAACAGCAATCTAGACTCTCTGTGTGATGATAATAAGCAATGTGGTTTGATATTCTCTCTCATGCTGCCTTGACATCCTAACAACCTTTCACAGTACAGTGGTCTTTCTCTACCAGTAGGACATCTGTCATTTAGGCTCAAAACATTGATACCATGTTATCAATGACGCTTCTTACCATTACCATCCAGGTTTTGTTTTTGAAGAGCCTCTTCTCCATCTTCTTCTGGTGCTTCTTTATATGCTTTTTGTTTTCCGCCATGATGTTGAATGGTGATATGCACACACCGTGAAACCATTCGTCCCAGGTGCTGGATAAAGGTGTTCTACATTGTTTTCCGCCATGAGCCACACAATGCCTTGTGTTGTGACAGAGTGAGTCAGTTCAACCGTCTCAATCTACTGTACAGCTAAGGTCAGAGTTCAGAGGGGACAACACTAGACACAGAGAGACAGAGACCTGCAATAATCATACTGCAGCAACTCCCATACATTACTTTACCAATGCAACTACATTGATTTTGTTGTCAACATCTTCAGCACAATGTCCACGTTTGACCGTATATATCCAGGTTGCTGAGGATGCTACCTTATTAAGCCAACATATGGTGAACCTATATGACAACAGTATTTCTATAGATATTACACTAAGGTCATTTATTGTGTATAATAGATAATTTAATAATTAATTTGTGGCATTTTATAAAGTTTTCTGACCAGCAGACATAGATCAAAATAATTGACAGTACTGTACAAGCGGATTGCAGTGCCTATTCTATTTTATGAAGCTAATAGATCCAGTCACACAATCTGATCTATTTAATGCATGTATGCAGACTACTAGGTTGCACTTGGCTTTTCTCAGTGAAAACCGTCAGGCCACACCAACTAAAATGTAATTGAAAGATTCATAAGTCAGCGAATGAAAGATTCATAGGTCAAGTCAATTACGCATTGTATTGCTGAAGGAAATGCAGTATTTTCTCTGCTGAGAAACAGAGTCAGTGATCACACACTTTCATTCTCTGGGGTATTCTTATTTCATTTCCTCCTTTTTCCATGCAGTATTGAAATGTTCAGCCACTGTTCATTTTCCACTGCATTTTTCAGCGTTTGAAAGAAAACTGAAATACATGTACTGTATTTAAATTGTTCACCACTTACTGTTCACGGTCAACCTGTCAACTTAAGATGTTTTGTGCATTTTATGTTCTTTTTATTCTTGAATGGTCTTGTCTCATGTTTTTTGTTCCTCCTCGATGTGTCTTCAAATATTTTTTGTTTTGTCAGTAACATTTTCAACAGAAACTCCACACACACATTGCTATGCTGTGGGCATTGAAGTGATATTTTATTTCAGTAAAATAAAGAGAAAGTATTGATTTTAGTTGCAGGGTTAAAAAAACAACATTTATTCACTGACTTAGATGAAGTAATACTATACCAGTGTTGAACATTGTCCCAAATACTGTATATCCCAAAGGTTTACTCCACAACACACAAACTAGACCATCAGACATTTAGCAGACGCTCTTATCCAAAGCGACTTACAGGAGCAATTAGGGTTAAGTGCCTTGCTCAAGGGAACATCGACAGATTTTTCACCTAGTCAGCTCAGGGATTCAAACCAGCGACCTTTTGGTTACTGTTCCAACACTCTTAACCACTAGGCTACCTGCACCAGCTACAGTACTGTACACCAGACACACACTACTATGGCTCCTCATGTCCAACATGTACCTTATGGATCCACCCTCCCCTTGGTGCTCTCACACTAATGTCGACCATCCTGTCTCATACTACTTGACTGTCTGTCTGTTGGAGAGAGTCTTAACCAGGCTCCAACAAACACTGACTGTATGGGATCATAGTACAGTACTGTACGGCATTTTGTAACTACTGTAGTCTCAAGATTAAGTTAAATGATTTTCTCTCAACAAGGGTTCTATAGGTCTTAGCAGTTGGTGCTACAGTGTGTGGTTTAGCACCAACTAATACTAAGCCCAGTGTTTATTCAACACTGTTTCTGGATGTACAGTGCCTTGCAAAAGTATTCATCCCCCTTGGCGTTTTTCCTATTTTGTTGCATTACAACCTGTAATTTAAATAGATTTTTATTTGGATTTCCTGTAATGGACATACACAAAATAGTCAAAATCTGGTGAAGTGAAATGAAAAAAATTACTTGTTTCCAAAAATTCAACAAAAAAAATAACGGAAAAGTGGTGCGTGCATATGTATTCACCCCCTTTGCTATGAAGCCCCTAAATAAGATCTGGTGCAACCAATTACCTTCAGAAGTCACATAATTAGTTAGATTGCACAGAGGTGGACTTTATTTAAGTGTCACGTGATCTCAGTATATATACACCTGTTCTGAAAGGCCCCAGAGTCTGCAACACCACTAAGCAAGGGGCACCACCAAGCAAGCGGCACCATGAAGACCAAGGAGCTCTCCAAACAGGTCAGGGACAAAGTTGTGGAGAAGTACAGATCAGGGTTGGGTTATAAAAAAAGATCAGAAACTTTGAACATCCCACGGAGCACCATTAAATCCATTATAAAAAAATTGAAAGAATATGGCACCACAACAAACCTGCCAAGAGAGGGCCGCCCACCAAAACTCACGGACCAGGCAAGGAGGGCATTAATCAGAGAGGAAAAAAAGAGACCAAAGATAACCCTGAAGGAGCTGCAAAGCTCCACAGCGGAGATTGGAGTATCTGTTCATAGGACCACTTTAAGCCGTACACTCCACAGAGCTGGGCTTTACAGAAGAGTTGCCAGAAAAAAGCCATTGCTTAAAGAAAAAAAAAAAGAAAACACGTTTGGTGTTCGCCAAAAGGCATGTGGGAGACTCTCCAAACATATGGAAGAAGGTACTCTGGTCAGATGAGACTAAAATTGAGCTTTGTCTGGCGCAAACCCAACACCTCTCATCACCACAAGAACACCATCCCCACAGTGAAGCATGGTGGTGGCAGCATCATGCTGTGGGGATGTTTTTCATCGGCAGGGACTGGGAAACTGGTCAGAATTGAAGGAATGATGGATGGTGCTAAATACTGGGAAATTCTTGAGGGAAACCTGTTTCAGTCTTCCAGAGATTTGAGACTGGGATGGAGGTTCACCTTCCAGCAGGACAATGACCCTAAGCATATTGCTAAAGCAACACTTGAGTGGTTTAAGGGGAAACATTTAAATGTCTTCGAATGGCCTAGTCAAAGCCCAGACCTCAATCCAATTGAGAATCTGTGGTATGACTTAAAGATTGCTGTACACCAGCGGAACCCATCCAACTTGAAGGAGCTGGAGCAGTTTTGCCTTGAAGAATGGGCAAAAATCCCAGTGGCTAGATGTGCCAAGCTTATAGAGACATACCCCAAGAGGCTTGCAGCTGTAATTGCTGCAGAAGGTGGCTCTACAAAGTATTGACTTTGGGGGGTGAATAGTTATGCACGCTCAAGTTTTCAGTTTTTTTGTCTTATTTCTTGTTTGTTTCACAATAAAAAATATTTTGCATCTTCAAAGTGGTAGGCATGTTGGGTAAATCAAATGATACAAACCCCCCCAAAATCCATTTGAATTCCAGGTTGTAAGGCAACAAAATAGGAAAAATGCCAAGGGGGGTGAATACCTTCGCAAGCCACTGTAGTCTTAAGATCTGCACCCATGCACTTAGATTGTAAACTGAGGTACCTGTAGTGATTTCACCCCTAGTTGGTCTGATTGGCTTCATTCACAACACTTTGCTGTACCATACTGTACTGGATAAGCGTCTGCTAAATGACTAAAATGTCAAATGTACTGTATGCCTTCACCTGCCGGTTCTGCAACTCCACTGCACGTCTCAGATTTAATTAATGTGTGTTTTCCCTTTGTTTTTGACTGCTGTGTCTTGTTTTATTGTGAAGATCATACTTTGTGTTGGCTGGCCCAACCATGTTTTATATCTTTTATTTGTTGAGTTGCATGTTTCATTCATGTAAGGCTGTGTGTGGTTTGTTTTCCATTTGTGTTGCGCCTGCTGTTCCAAAAGAAACACTTTTAAAAACCAATGAAACCCAAGTTGCATGTGTCCTAAGTTATTTAATAATGTAGTATTCTGTCACCATGAGTATAACATTCAACTGATTAAGAAGCAAAACCTATTTCATTCTCACATAACATTTGCTTATCATTGTTTTTTGGGGGGTTTTTTTATTTCACCTTTATTTAACCAGGTAAGCCAGTTGAGAACAAGTTCTCATTTACAACTGCAACCTGGCCAAGATAAAGCATAGCAGTGCGATAAAAACAACAACACAGAGTTACATATGGGGTAAAAAAACATAAAGTCAAAAAATACAACAGAAAATATATATACGGTGTGTGCAAATGTAGCAAGTTATGGAGGTAAGGCAATAAATAGGCTATAGTGCAAAATAATTACAATAGTATTAACACTGGAATGCTAGATGTGCAAGAGATTATGTGCAAATAGAGATACTGGGGTGCAA